CTTATCTCAGTGGTTCTTAAATAAACCCCAATATCCAGATCCACTACAGGCTGTCAGATGGTGTCAGAAGCAGGATACAGATGGTCTATTGAACCTCGAGATTTTGGCCTGTTGAAGGAGGCCCTCTGGGAGGAGTGGGGAGGACAGGAGACCTCACCAGAGATGCAGTGTGCCTGTAGCCTTTATGCCTGTGGGTGCAAAACTGATGGGTTGGGATTGTCAAGGCAGTGGTGGGGCGGGAGGAGATAGATGTCTCAGAGGAGTTTTAACGTGCCTGTAGTTATGCTTTTGGGTACCCCACGTTCAGGTCTCCCAAATGGTTGGGGTTTGTCAAGGTCATGGGAGCCTCCTTCATGGGGTCTTAGTGTGCCTGTAACTGTTACGCTGCTGGGCAACAGACTGATGGGTCCGCTGCCTGGTCAGGATCTCTCAGACTGGTAAGGGCCTCCTACAAGACCCAGCAAGCGTGGTAACCCTGGTGCCTCCAGGCAGGAAGAGCACAGGTGAAACTTCAGTGCAGTCTGAATACTCTAGGAAACATCTTAAACTATTAGTCACCATTATATTAAGCTTGAAAGTTCCCTGGGCATTTGAATTGACACCCTAATATACCAGAAGGTCTCTGGGGAGGAGGTGGCTGCCCGCCTCCCAGATTATGGCGCAATCCCTTTTTAGGAGGCAACAACGTTCTGCCTAATCCCCCATGTAAACTGAAATTAGGTTTGGGCTCATGAAGATGTCTTGTCACATAACCTAACAAGTGTCACCTACCCCCTCTCCCTGGTTCTCCTCCCTCCCTTCCTCTATAAACCATAAAATGGTTTTTAAGTACCATTTTGGAGGTTTGAGTGATTAGATCCAAGAAGTGGACCAAGAAAAGCAGAGAGTGGAGAGCTTGGGTTTAGCCCTACGATTAAGCCATTCACCTGAAAAGAACTGGGATTTTGATCTGTGCTCTGGTGGGTTGGTTTTGTTTTTTATTTTATTTCTACAAACAGAAGGATCTAGGAGCTGGTGTTGCTGTATTTTGTCTTAGTCTCAGAGTGCTTGTGGAAAGGCCTACTTTGAGGAAGAGAACTTTTAATCTGAACAGACTTTTAAGTCATACAATTTATTAATATTAAAATATAGTTCTGAGTGGTACGCAGCTAGCAGACTTTTTATTGTTGACCTGTTAGAAGTCTTAGGGATACAAGCAAAGTGACAGCTGGAGTACAGCACCTTCAGCTCCTGGCAGGAAAAAAACTAGTATTCAAATCAGCATGTCATCATGTTGTACTGTGTTACTTATTGACCATTTCTTTATACCTTCTTTTCCTACTCAGTTGAGGCACACATTTTTTAAATTGTGTCTAACTTACCTGTCTGCTATAACAGTAGTTTGTAAGTCTTTTTTGCTGTGCTTCTATTTATATATAGATCTCCAATCTTGCTGTGAAAGATAATAAAATACGGCATTTCTGTTTTGCTTGTGTTGCCATCATCCCACTTAAGTTCGTAATTGCTGCTTTTGAAACTGCTGTTCTGCTGGATCTTCGATCAAGTGACATTATGAACAGATAATTACTATATATGTAGATCCTAGATATAAATGATCTTGAAGATTCATATATGTGTACACATGATTGTAGTATATAAAAACATATATTTAAACATATTATAGAAACATGTATTTAGTTTGTTTAGGCTTGTTTTGGTTTATATTCTATAGATGAAACATTATGGATATATATAATATATAATTTATAAATGTAATAATTCAAGTTATGCAGCATGATGAAAATTCTGAAAGGTTGAAAATTGTTTTACTTTCACTTATGTCCCTTTTTTAATGTATCTTTTTTTTTCCCTTATGTTTTTAATTTGGGTGACTGGATGAAACAAGTAGCTGTCTCTATTAAAGGACAGAATACAACAGAGAAAACAAACACACAGCTGTTAAACCCTCACTACTGGCATGAAAATGTTGTCACCCTTCATATGCCAGTGTTCGCAAAACTATGTTTTATGCATTGTTTATAAAAACAATATGTTTTTCTTTTTCTTAGAAAGTTCATTTTCCATTCCAGATTAAGTATCATACTTAGATTTTACCATTCAGTTTTGGCAATTTTATCATTAACTGTGGAAATTACTGGTATTCTTAATAAAATGCTTGATACAGTAATGGGTTGAATAGCATTCAAAGATTATGGAATAAGTCTTCTGCATTTGTTACAGCATAGTAAGAGAGCACAATTTAACCTTCCCTATTATTTTAACAGTTTCTATTTAGATTTTAGTCTATATCATTTCTCTGCATTTATAACAAAACCTTTATGAAAAGGGCAAGGGAAAATACTGAAGTTAAAATGTGAAAGATGAGAAGATTTAGACAAAGAAAGGATGGAATATACTTATTTTGTTGAATTATTTGACTGTATTAAATTTCTAAAATGTTTCAAAGGAATTTGGTGGATTAAGTGTGCAGGAGTGGGAATTCACTGAGGCCTTTAAGATACAAATTTGAATAATTAACTAGTATAGGAAATCATGCAGCCCTTCATAGGCAAAAAAGGTGAGACATTTATTTAAAACTCAAGTTTGTACCTGCTATCGCTGCCTTTGAAAGAATGATTTATTTTCAAGACTTGGAATTATTTTGAAACCGAAGAAACAAACCTGCCAGTCTCTGCCACTCTACCCAGAAAATAATCTTGATTATTACATTTCAACTTAAAGAAAAGGATTCATACATTTGATGAAAGAAGCATTCATTAACTTGTACTTTTTAACATTTTGGGTCAATATTCATGCACAGTAAATAATCCAGTGTAAACTCATTTTCTTCTGTAATTTTAGATAATCTTCAAGGGAATAGCTATAAAAAGGTACAGTTATATTTTTATTAATTCCAGGGCTTGCCAGGAGAGCACGGGGTACCAGGAAACCCAGGAGTTAAAGGAGACAAGGTATGTTTTAAGTGTTTTTAATTAAGCTTGACATGCTAGAGCATATTAGACTGTCATCTCTGAAGTAACCTTCCATCCTTCTGTACTGCATCTGTGTGGCTGCTTTATGAATTGATTTTAAGATATACAAGCAGCAACCTCCTGTCTGCTCCTCAGAGATGCTGCGGGACAATTTGGCAACCCAGTTGCTCTTTAGATTCATAACTTAAGTAATATTTCAAGGAGGTTGCATTGGGCTCTTACATTAGATCTGTGCAGCGCGGAAATGTCAGTTCAGGTCCTGACCACAGAACAGCCTTTTCAGTGTAGTGTCCTAACCAGACTAATGTCTAAAATCCCGCCTCTTAGTCAGTCATATTCACCTTGGCAGAGCACTGGGGCAGCTCTACTGTCTCAGCTGCAAGACGAGGCCGGGATCTCTTGATGGGATTGTATTTTTCTGTGTAGAAATCCCGCAGAATCCAGCCACATCAGCAAGAGTTAAAAATTGTATGTATGCATATGCTGAATGTAGAGGAGGGGAGAAAAATGGATAGAGCGGTGTGATGTGCTATGTTATTTATACATTGTCGGGTACAAGGGAAACTAATAAAATCCATTAACTGAACTTTGAAGAAGTGAAATGATGAAAAGGCAGAAGAAAATAACTGTAGAACAAGGACAGAAGGGTAGTCATCTCACAAAATGGGAAGTAGTGGATTCAGAAAGCATCACGGAGAATAATGCAGGAGCGTCTAAAAGACAAGAGGACAGCATAATAGACAGCACAAATTCACCCGTGTAAGCAGGAGTTGTAGAGATGTGGAGCAAGCGATGCTGCATGCAGTGAAGTCAGAAATCGAGGCATAAACAGGAATACGGTGAAGACCAGGGATATTCCACTAGGGATAGATAGATAGATGGATGGATGGACAAAAGCAGTCTGAAGCTGTAACTATGAATTGATTGGCAGGTTTTAATGACAACCTGCATATTAGGGGCCTGGGGATAAAGAAACGTGGGTCAGATGCATTGCAAGCATGGAAAACCGAGAGAATGCTAGTTACTGTTAGTGGTTGTGTGGTCCATGCCTCCTTTTCTTCTGTAATTTTTCGAAGGAAAATATGGGGGAGTTTTTTCTTCTCTGTTTCTTCTCAAAGTAGTGGCACTTTCTAGGGTAACCTTGATAATATTTAGAGTTTTTCATCAGAGAAAATTCTCATGTTTCAATTAGTGATTCAAATTTATCTTGTAGGGGGACCCTGGTGGGATTATGGGACCGCCTGGACATCCAGGTCCAAAAGGTGATGTGGGGCCTCCTGGACCAAGTCTGCCTGGAACACCAGTAAGTCCATAGTCTGAAAAGGCTTTTATGACTTTATTTCTTATAGGAACCGCTGTTAAAGAATTCTCATCCTGCAATGAAAGAAATCAGAACAAGTTTGTGGGGGTTTTTATGCGATGTTAAAATTGAAATATATGTTATAGTGGTATTGTAATTGCACTAAAATGTAGTCTAGAAATAGTGCAAGGCTCACACACACTCCTACTGACAGTGGTATTAACAAGGAAGACATATGTAAAACTGTCATAGTTTATTTAGTCAAATTTATTTTAGTCAGCCTTTCACTGACTAATTTTGGCAATAAAATTCTTCTAGTCTCTTTGATTTCAAAACATAATTATTTTTTTACTTGGGATTTTTTTTTTAGGGTCCCATTGGTATTCCTGGAAACCCAGGTCCACGGGGACCAAAGGTATAAAAAATATATTATTTCTGTTTTGAAAAAAAAGGATTACATGCTAGTTTACGTTTTCAGGCCAGTTGTGACTGAAAGCCTTGTACCCTTCTCAGGGAGAAAGGGGACTACCTGGTGTACAAGGAGCACCTGGGGAGATGGGACCCCCTGGAATAGGCATTCAGGGATCACCAGTAAGTATACCAACGCCCACAATTCGGGCTTCTCACTGTGCATCGCTGAGAAACTGCAACAAGTAAAGCATAGTAAAAAACCATGCCATGTACTCCCTTCTGACTTGACTCCCAACTTAGCATCTTTTCCCTTTATCCAGATCCAGAAAGAACTAGTGCTAAGTGGGAAATGGAAGCCTTGGAGATCTGAAAGAGTCAATGGCTACTTTACAGATGAGCTTCCTAGTGATGGTGTTACGACGTCTTCAGACTAACTGTGTCTGTTTCTAAGCAGCGATTGTTTGCAATTGTCAGCAAAATCCAGCCTGAGTACTGGTACAAGAGAGGGGGTGTACTTGATGTTGTAGACGATGGCATTTTGAAATCCATGCTGGTACTGGAAAAGGCAAAGACACATGGAAGAGATGTGGAAGGCTTTGCATCAGCTCCTGACTTTTGCATTTGTGATGACTGCTAATTACAAGCTTAGGTCTCCTGCTTATAAATGAGAAGCTTACAGTGCCAGGCTATGGCAGGACATAGTGAAGTCCTGATTCTGCACAGCTCGCTTCACGCATTTCTGTGCAGTTTAAATTCAATCATGAAGCAAGTTCATGCAGTGTATTTAGAGCATTCATACTAAATAAAGTGTTTAGCAGTAAATGTTTCAGTTATTCAGCTTGTTTCCCAGGTATCTTCCTTTCCATTGCCTTTAAGTAAAGCCATCTGCAGTGTCTTCAGAGTATTCAGTAAAAAAATTGGTGATATTGATGGTGTAGATGGTAGGTGGTACATGAGTTCTACTGTGGTGAATAAGGCAATCCCTCTTCAGTACAGACCAACATAGTCAGCTGATATGTTTCGGTTTATTGACAGGACTCAGGTACAGAGAGAAAATGTTTGAGAAAGGTGACTGGAGATTCACACTGAGATCTTAATTTAAAGTAGTAATCCTTAAAAATAATTTATTCAGTTAAAATATTTTGAAATCTGAGTTTTAAAAACTACCCAGTTATATTTAATCTAATTTGGTTTTATTCAACTTGAATGTCAGCTTTTCTTGTGAATCTCCTAGATAAATAGCAAGTTTCACCACAGGTCATTATTGCTTGCTATTACTTAATCTTAAAAACAGGCCTCAGCAAAATCTTGAATTCTCTAATTTTGGCAAAATTAGGTTTTAATTTAAAACCAAACCTAGAGCAAGCCTTCCTTGCAATGCAAACTGCACCAATATCCCACATTTGATATTTTTTTATGAAGTTCATCTCCCTTATCCAAAAAAGTGTAACTACTGATTATTTGGAGTTTTCTTGCAGGGCCCTATAGGTCCAACTGGATCAGCAGGTGTGCAGGTAGGATATAAATTTTCTCTTTAATGTAAAAAACATTAATTTAGTTTAAGAAGCTTACAGTAAAAGAAAAATATTTTCAAATCCTAAATGACCTTTCCTGCTCTTAGGGCCCTAGGGGACCCCCAGGATTACCAGGAACTCCAGGTACCCCTGGTATTAATGTAAGTAACAGTTCTCTATATATACAGCAAAAAGTAATGTGTCCCTTGTCAATGATTTAAGGCCATCAAATTTTACCTTTCGCTCTAGGGCACTCCAGGAAGAGATGGAAAGCCAGGACTACCAGGCCCTCCAGGTGATCCTGTACGTATGCATAGAAAACTTGTGCATTTGCTTTGATGCAAATATTTTAAATTTAAAGGAGATAAGTACAGAAGAAGTAGAAGTAAAATTGATAAATTAATTTGATTTTTCAATGATTATATCCTTTGTGGGTTTTTTTTTCACTTTATTATGTTGCAGTATAAATTAAACTGCTGTATCTCAGCAGTCTCAGTCTGTTCGCCTCTTAAACTAGCAATTCTTCATATACCTGACCATCACATATACTCCTCAGATGCAGAGAATTGCAGCATGTCTTACGAGTGAGGTCCATCTCCAAGTGTCCAGCAATGCAAATCTAAGGCAGGGTTTCCAAACCAGTCTGCAGATTGCTGATAGCCTGTGAAGAGATCAGAAATGCTTCAGCATTAGGCAGTAAAACACATCATGCTTTCAATTAAACATTTGGTTGTACAGGTGCACGGCAGTCCACAAGTAAGCCTAAGGATTGACAACAAGGAGCTTATGGGGGGACAAACTAGCCCCATAATCACAGAAAGATTTCACCTTGGAGAGGATAGTCGTCTTTCTCTGGAGAAGAGCCTGCACGTAGGCACTGCCGATTATCAGGGATCAGGATGGTGATTCTAATTGGTTGGTTCCTTGGTTCCTGCATTAGTGAACTGGTCCGATCCTTTGAGACATGTGAGAGTATCCGCAGCATCTCAAAAGGCCTAAAATCAGTACGTAAAAGCAGGTCTGCCACTGGCATTGAGTATGAAGGTAGAACTCAAATCAGAGAGTCACAAAGACTGAGGTATAAAATGAGCTTCAGTTAGGAACAGGTATAAAAACAAGAAAAAGGCACTGTGAATATAATTATTTGAAAGACCAGCAAAGCCTATTATTTAATAATCATGGAGATCAAATTATAGGTTGTGCAGAGAAAGCTGAATAATTCAGCGGCTTTTCACTGTCCACTGAAAAAAATTGCTTTTCAGAGAATACATCAAATAAATTTTAATTTAGTTGAAAAAAGAGTGAGTTAAAGAGGTTTTAGATACAGCATGAAAATCTGGTGTAATTCACCCAAAGAATGAAGCAAAGCAGTCTCTAAATGGTTAGCAGTTATCCTTGAGTACTTTGAGAAAGGTGCAGCTTTTGAGGAAGGGAGATATGCTCACCGAAAACATATCTTCATAAAAAAGTGAATAGAAGAGGAACAAGAGTATCGTAGGTCAGTTGAAAAAAGTTTGATTGCAAGAGAGATAGGAGTTGTTTTTTTTTTTAATTTAATTCTAAGTACCAGTGATATGAATGATAAAGTGGAAACAAGATGGCATAATTTTGTTAAGAACCAGTCATGGAATAAGTCAGATTTCTGTCTTTGGAAGGTTAACTTTCTTGGGAAAGACAGGGAAACAGTCATGTTATATACCTTGGCTTCACTGAGACTGTCCTCATGATGTTTTTATAAGCAAGCAAAAAGTGCTCTTGAAGTAATTGCCGTATAGTTAATGATTATCAAAAAGTATGGATATGAGTGTCTATCAGCAGATTACTGTCAAATTTGGAAAAAGCGGTCTCTTCCCATGCCCGGTTCTTGTCAGTGATTTAATTTGATTAGGATAAGTAAATATAAACTCTGCAATTGGACTGGGAAAGATTGGTAGCTTTTTGAAGATATAATCAAAACTTAAAATTGAGAGACAGTCTGAAGTCAACAAGATTAAACTCAAGACAGATGAGCATAATGCTTAATAGCAAAAAACAAAATGCATAAGAATAGGTCTGGAAGGTACAGTGCACTGCAAACTAAATGTAAGTAAAAAAATCTAATGTCTCTGTTAAACAGACAGGTCTAAACGGGAAAACTTGCTAACAGGAGAATTCTTGCCTTTTGCTCTCTTGAAATACTCTTCTCCTTGGAGAGAACTTTTTGAAAGGAAGATGTAGCAAGTACAAGTGAGTCCAGAGAATTAAGGCCATTTTAACATTTTCAAAAGCCCAGCATATACCATACACTTATTCAGCGTTCAGCATACACAGCTGTGACTCTACAGTATGTGTGCAATTAGGCTGGACTTGCTGTACGTACGAAGCGGACGAACTGTACGGCACAAACGCGGCTGACTCACTCTCATACCTGGCCAGCCATTGCAGCTGGATGTCAGGACCCTTTTGCACTGAGGGTTTGGGGGCCTGTACCACAAAATGATATTGCAGCTAAAATAAGAACATAGAAAAAAGGAGAGACTAGGGAAATTACGCTTGTGTAGTCCAGAATAAAGACCAACAGGTGGCATGGTAACCGCATGTCTATCTTAAAATGTCACAATGAAAAGGATGAAAAGTCAGGCCATGTAGGGATGTGGTGGTTGTTTTAAGCCTTGTTACAGGTTTTTAAGAGCAGGTGACACTGGCTATGTACAGTTTACTATTGTGCAGAGGATGGACTTTATACCTTACACAGTTATGTCCTTAAGTTATGTTAGGTGGCTATGTCTCACCCTAGAAAACTTTCCAGCGTGCTTTCAAAGGTGCTGATGCTGCCCTGTAAATACTGTACTCCTGATTGCACTTCTGGTTAAGTATGTTCAGCAGCGCTTCTCTTGAGCTGGTATTTGAGACCCATTGCTACCAACCGACTCTTTTTCTAATATGCTGCAAAACTGGTTACATTTTATTTTTATTATTCAATATGGAAATGATTGAAAAATACTGAACAAAAAGAGTAACAAATTTTGAATGTGTCTAATTTTATAGTATGGCCAGGGCTATTTTGCTTTAGCAATTGCAAGAAGAAATGAGCATCGGTAGTTGAAGAGTCAACTTGTGAGTGAAGGTGATGATAACGAGTACAATAAGTTTTTACGGGGAGTCTTTAAATATAAGTTTAATGGCAGCTCTTGAAAATCTGAGATATATTGCAGTACAGTGTAAGCCTATTGATTGAGCATTAAATGGGTTAGCAATTTAACAGTGGCACCACAGTGTTTTGCACTAATTCTTAATGTTTAAAGGCAGGACAAAATACTACATATTTTGCTCATGTTGCTGTAGCTGGATTATTTCCAGTACCTGAGCTAGTTTATTGAAGTTAGCTTTGGCATCACCACAATTTATGCTGCAGTTCACAGTAGAGTCAAAGCCTAGGAGAAAGCGGAAGAAAAACAATTGAAGATAATCAGGTGAGAATAGTCTGTGAGACTTTCCAGGAGTGGTAAGTTGTTGCTGGTATGCTACAAAAATGACAATATATTATTTTTATTTAAAAGTGAAAGTTACTGTGTTCTGGAATTATGCTATTGTCATGGTTTAAGGAATTTCAATGAAATTGTAACAAAGAATTACATTGTTAGGTTGGATAGACAGCGATATTTAACTATATTTGAAATCCTGATTTTTCTTTTGAGTTTTCATTAAAAAGTAGCTTCAACCAATATGTATGTAATCAGCTATGTGTGTAACAATATAAACTTTAGAAGCAATGAGAACCCATCAGAATCAGTAGTGTTGTGTAAAACATTAACTGCAGCTGCCTTTTTTAATTTCAGATTGCACTGCCACTTGTGGGAGACATGGGTGCTATACTGAAGGTAAACATTTTCAGAGGTTAAATATCTTTGTTTAATATAAGCATGCTTTTTAAACCAAAATATGCACTTGAAAACCCACTTGGCTAGCCTAAAATAATTTTGATATTTTTGTTGATTTTTGTTTTGTTTTTAAGAAATTCTCAAGAAATGTATTTTATAGGAATTTTGCAAAATAGCATTTTAACGGTATGTGAGGTAGTAGCCAGCCAGTGTCTGTTCAACACATCTAGTTCACAATATGAATTGCTACACATATACCCCATTCTCCACTTTACTTTGTAGCATTAATGTTGGTAATATACTGAATTGGGAAAATAGCCTAGAATTTCTAAGGTATTATTTTGAAAAATAATAAAATGTGAAGTTATCTGCCATATTCCAAAATTAAAAGTGTGCTCAGGAGTATTTCACTGTGAAAAGTACACATCATTTCTGAAGAGAGAGATTATCCTATTCTACTGTCCTTTATTAATATATGTACTGAGGGTTTCTTGACTTTCTCATTCCCAAACTGATTTCTTTTAGGTCTATCTTTGGGCTTTTCCCTGATTCTTTGTCCATAATTGTGTTGTCTTTCTCCTGTATGTGCTCTTCTACCTCTTTGTCAATTCTCTCTCTTACTGATTCTTTATGCTTCATTCTTCATTTCTCTATGTTTCATGGTTAGCACTTCTTTAATATTGTAATGTAGCTGGAAAATGCTTCCCTCAACAAAGCAAGAATCACTTTAAAATAATTGTAGATTTGAAGCTGATGAGAGCAACAAGTAGCCTTCATCTCTACCTAATCCTTGAAAGGAAGATGGTTTGCTCAAACCTAAACACAGGTTTGTCTGGGACTATCCAAAATGAAGGCATTTATGAGTCCTCTCAAAATGAAGCTAAGAAATTTTCACACACTCTTTGAGTAGAGTGTGTGAGAGATGGGAAGGGAAACAAGGAATGACACCTGAAAAAGTATATTGTGTAGAAGAGAGAAAGGACTGAAGTGAAGGCTTGGGCGTGAAATGAAGGGATGGTCACAAAGGCAGGAAGGAAGCGGTCTGCGTAGAGCACACCACCTGCCCGTGTCACAAAAATGGTTATTTGTCACTTCTCTTTCTCTCTGTTCCTCAGGGTGATCCTGGCACAAGAGGTCCTCCAGGCATCCCTGGCAGAGAAGGGCCAAAGGTAAGTTTTCAAGAGAGTACTTTACGTTGCTTTGTTTCTTGTTGAAAGTAAAAGGCCAGACTCTTACCTCTGGCAGTCTTGACTTTTTTGTCTGATCCCTATCCCTGTAGCATCTGGGCTAGGCTAGCCTAAAGGTCCAAACGATTTTTAGGATTCAGCCTTCTTCCTGCGTCAGTTTGTCTTTCCTCTCAGGAAAATGTGCAAAACAGCCCGAGCCCCAAACCAGGACAGCTCTTCTCCATCTTGCACCTGCTAAATCTAGCTCAGATTTGACTGCCCAGTACTGCATTGCCATCTATAGGCTTATTTTAGGTGAGTCAGTCACGCAAGAATCCTGCGGTGAGGAAGGAAACTTCCCGTATCTCCCTCCCGTGTGCAACCACTGGGCTGCCCCGCGCCTTTGCGCCGTGTTCCCGTGGCAGTAACACAGCCGTTTCCCGGGATGTCAGCTTGCACTGGCGACAACCAAAATTCTGCTTCACTGCAATCGGCTCAAATGCCACATGGTTTGGCATATAGATATCTCCTATAGCTGAGCCTAATTCCATGAAAGTGTACTTTCCCCATTTCAGCAAGCGTTTAAGCTCTTTGTTATTAATAAGATGCCTCCATCAGGCCTTTCGGCTAGTTTGCCCGCTAGATAAAAACCACGCATTTCCTCTCATCTCAGTGGGAGGCATATTTTAAAGTTTTCAGGTAGTATTGAGCCTTTTTTCTGTTTTAGGCGCTATTGCTGTAAGGGCTTCATGCTAGCCTATATTAAATGTGGGTCATAAAATGCCCTACAGAGCATGAAATTCACTGTTCTCTAATAGAAAGTATTTGTTTGAATGTTACGTTTTCATAGGGCAGCAAAGGTGAACGTGGGTTTCCTGGACTTGCTGGCGAGAAGGGCGATGAGGTAAAATTACTTCATTTCTATAGCGGTTGCATTCTTATCTGAACCTGAATAAAGATCTAGACTGAGAATGAAATGCACAGAATGTTATTCAGTTCTTTAAAACTGCTGATACAGTAACGTATTGCTATACGTAGCCCTTGATTCTGAATTTTCAACAAGATTAAAAGGTATTATTCAATTAAATAACATCTATTTAATTTTTGTCTGGGGATTTTTGCTCATTTGTATATTTTAAAGCCTCACATACATTTAAACACTAATTTTTAAGAGTACAGAGCTACTGCTTTACCCCAGAATTTAGCAGATTGTCAGACTAAAGTATCATGCTTATTTTTCCTCATGTTTTTACATGATCTATAGAGCTCATTATGTCTTTGCTTCTTAAAAGCAAGTGCCTCCTGAGGTTGGATTAGAACATATACCTTAAAATGATGGGGCAGACTTAAGTAAAGCCCAAACAGAGTTTTACTTAAAAAATAAATGGGAAAGCAACACATCCTTTGCGTGCCCTATAGGGTACCTCTACAATTCAACCCTCACAGGCTGAGGCATTAGCAAAACTTCAACAATTCAGATACTATTTAACTGCTGAGAATCAAGTGTGATATTAGAGGCAATTAAGAAGGTAATAGGGGAAAGGCAATATTATAACTGGCAGTTAGTTGTTTTTAAAGGACTCCAGAATGAATTAACTCTACATTTTTTTTTTATTCAGTAGGGTGCTGTGCTGTGTTAGTAAGTTAGCTATTCGCATGCTGCTTCACTATGTGATAGCTGGTTAGCTGCCTTAGCTCTGATATTTTCAGTGTTTAGCAGCAGCTTTTGGTTATGACATGTGGAAGTGAATTTATTTTCAGAAACACGTATAAAAGAGTTTACAAAGTTTAACAGTAACTTCTTTTACAAATTTACAGATTTTAAAAAAATGTGTTTATTTTCATTTTTATGAATTGGTGTAACATGGGAGTGGGAAGAGAGACTGAGAAGCCCACCTGAAGCTCTTTGAAATATGCTTATTAATTCCCATGTGTTTTCAAATGTCCCTTTAATCTTTGTTGAAGCTTAGTTCTCTTCCTTTTCAAAACAATCCTTTTTTCAGGGGAAGTTTTTTTCTAACATCAGTAATAAGAATTACAGAAAATGTTCCTTTGGCTTCATATTCATTTTCTGGGTGACTGTGCCGCCAGAGTAAAGTAATTCAAAATGAGCAGAGAACACGTTAGCAGTTGGATTGCCACTCTGAAAAGCAGCAGAGGATCAATGTCCTCTGTGTGCAGGAGCAAGAAAGGGAAATCAGTGTCTCTCTCCATCTGCACATCTTTGCGGATTTATTTCTCTCTGCCCTTTTTTCCATCAGTCTTTCCCTCAGAGCCCCTACTTCAGGCCTCCTGACCTCTGTGGTTTTCTAGGCTGTCCCCTTAGCCGTGCCGTCTTAAACACCGCATTTAACATGAGAAATGCACCTTTTCTGAGGTGATTCCTCTTGTCAGAGGATAGGCACCCTGTGTGGATAAAATGAATCACTGCTGGGAGGCACTTATTTCCCTTGGTGGGTTATAGGGGGAAGCGAGAGCGATCAGCTCTCATTAGTACATGACTTTTACATGTCTGAAATTGCACCTAAGCCTGGTGTGGCAGAGGAAGGACTTCAGTGACATCTCACATCCTACCTGTATCCACTGTAGTAAGTTGCACACCTGTGTGCTTAGTATGCAGATACCAGAAGCCATCAATTTCCAGGCAATCAAATGGAATAACAGCAAGAAAGTCGGTCATTAAATACTATGAAAAATATCATGCTCCATTATCAAAAAAGCAAAAATCTGTAAATCAGGTAGAAAGCATCGTTGCATTTAGATAGCGTCAGGTAACACTGAGAAGTCAGAACAGATGTCTTCTTGCCAGCAAAAATAAACTTTCAGTGATAGAAAATAGAAAATTAATCTCTCAGGAAAAGACAGATGTCCTGCTCTTGTCTGCACAACTAAAGACAAGAAGATATAGAAGACATAAGCTAATGATGTGAAAGGCTGAAAGGCAAGTGTTGTTTGTAAGACAAGCAAGAAGTTGCCTCTAACCTTATCATAGAATCACAGAACAGTTTGGGTCAGAAGGGACCTTTTAGAGGTCATGTAGTCCAAGCCCCCTGCAGTGAGCAGGGACATCTTCAACTAGATCAGGTTGCTCAGAGCCCCATCCAACCTGACCTGGAAAGTTTCCAGTGATAGAGCATTGACTCTGGGCAACCTGTGCCAGTGTTTCACCACCCTCAGTGTGAAAAATTTCTTCTTTAAGTCTAGTCCAAATCTGCCCTCTTTTAGTTTAAAACCATTCCCCTTGTCCTATTGCTACAGGCCCTGCTAAAACGTCTGTCCCCATCTTTCTTAGAAGCCCCCTTGAAGTACTGGAAGGCTGCAAGAAGGTCTCCCCAGAGCCTTCTCTTCTCCAGGCTGAACAACCCCAACTCTCTCAGCCTGTCCTCAGAGGAGAGGTGTTCCATCCCTCTGGTCATTTTTGTGACCTCCTCTGGACCCGCTCCAGCAGGTCATTCCTAAAAAGAATGCCAACCTTTTAGATGAAAATACGCTTTAATATAGTTATAATACTCCTGGACATGCTGAATATAAGTAGGTTTTGAGGTATAAGTGGGAGAGGAAATGGACGTATGCTCTTTTAACTTCCAGGGCCTTCAAGGTGCTCCTGGACTGCCAGGCATACCAGGACCCAGTGGACCATCTGTAAGTGTGTGGTATCACCTATGATCTAACCTATCTCTGCAGAGGTTGCTATAACTATCTAGTAAAACTTCGTATTTTTAGTTTGTTCTCCTTTCTTTTGGCTTTTGGGAGAGTAATAATAAAATCTTACCCGTACTGGCTCTAATAAAAGAAATTATGTTGTGAGTTGATGTTACTGAAAATACCATCATTGTCTGGGTTCAAAGTTTATGTAACTTAAATGGGTTTGGAGATTTGGCATTACTAGAGACTCCGTGAGGTTACATGACTTATGATGTGCAAACTTACAGTTAATTATGTATTTGTACCCAAGTTATAGTAATAATGTTAGTAATAAAAATCTAAAAATAATTCCAGCTAGGCGTTCTGAAAACATTTAATGCTGAAACCGAGTAATCACTTGGTTTTGCAATAAAAAAATATGGGAATAAGCTGCCAATATTTAAAGTCACTGACAAATACCATGAAAAATGTTGGTATTTCTGGGAAAACTCCTCTTGGTAATTTTTTTATATTTTATTTTCTACATACTAGATGGGATCACATTAGTTAGTATGATCATTATTCATTCCTAGGTTGCTGACAGTACTAGTTCTTCCCTCTTTAAAAAATTGTAACACATTTAGGAATTTTAATGTGGAATATGTAATTTGGCATTTTAGCAGTAAAGCATGATTCTTAACAGTATCAAGAGGTGCCAGCCAGGGTCAGTGCATTTAATCTGCCAAGGTGAAAATGCAACCGCAAACACAATTTTTCCCCTTCAAAGGGCTTATCAGAAGGACACAGCTGTTGTATCAAACGGAAGAGAAATATTTAAAACTGGGGGAGAAGCATAATTAGGTTTAAATGACCTTCAAAACATATGGGTTTTAAAAACTAAGCTGCAATGCAAAAATACTGTGTTTCATTGTTTCTTAACTAATATAAGCCGATACTGTGTTGTGCAGGGAGTCACGGGAAGACCTGGACATCCCGGTCCAGCAGGGTCAAAAGGCGAAAAGGTATTCTTTCTTTTTAGTCTTCACCGGTAAAGATCTGTGAAGGTTCTGCAGTGCCACTACACTCCTCTGATTTGGGTTTTTTTTTTAACATAGAGTGCAAACAAGAATGTGACGTACATTTTGAAATTAATTTTTATTTGTGTCTTAATACAAGTACTTTCCCCCCAAAATGCCATACATATGGGCTTATATTTTGAAGTGTAGTCCTTGTAGTATATGTAAGTTGCAGAGAATGTTCTCCAAGTATGACATACTACATAAAATTTAGGAAAGTGAAAATACGTTAATGAAATAGTATGTGACTAATTACTACTTGCTCCACTTCTCATTCTTTTACCATTATTTTAGTCAAAAGTAATAGCATACTTTAAAAGTGCATCACAAGTACTGAAAGTTATTAAGTATAAGTTGTTCTGCAAAGTATATAAGCTTCCTTTATACTTCATTTACACTGTTACAGTACTGCTTTTTATCAATATTTTATGTGCTCTTTTATCAGGCACTTGATATTATCCATTATAACTAAGAGGTCAAATTCATTTCTTGGGTACCCCAGAACAGTGAAATACAGCAGACACAAACTTAGTTTGCTGCAATATACTTTCTGGAACAAGTTCTCCATTTTGTATATGAATGCAAAATACTTTTTTGAAGTTCTTTTTAAGCTTTAGCCTGGAGTTTTCCAGGCATAGCACTGCCACATCAATGTATGTGATCCTAATACTCTACAAAACCTTGACTCTGGTAGGAATAAGAAAGGAAACCCTTTATTTTGTAAAGCTCTGAAATTATTTCAGTATAAAAATTGATTGAGACCTCACAGACCATAATAGCAAAAATTTACCAGACTTATTTCCTTTTTATGTAACCAAATGCAAAAAAGCAAGTCTGTCTTGGTTCCTTGTTTACAATTCTCACACAGGTGGGAATGAGAAGCCACTGCTCTGTAACTAGTGTCTCATCGATCAAAAAGGGCTAAAGTCAGATGGCTGAAGAGTGATGAGTAAACTGAAATATAGCCAGAGTAATTTCCTCCTCCTTCCTTCATTTGGGGAATATGTTTGAGAAATGATCATATAAAATGCGTTCTAAACTATAGTATTTTTTCTCCCTGTGAAGTATCCCAAATCACTCTTCGGAGGCTGGCAGTTTCTATCAATTAGAAAGACCATTTGGAAATTATCCTAGCATAATTGTAACTGAATGTTTATATATTTCTTGTGGACCAATTATTGCTGTTAAGCACTTAGCTTGACTTTTGCCACCTTCAAAATTTTAAACGTGCAGCCTAAGTGTCTCGCTGACATATCTTTAATAAGATCCGGTGAAGTCAGTGAAAAATTCTGACACTGTTCCAAATTATACAGTGTTTTTAACTGAATTATAGTGATGATATTTTGAAAATATCTTACCTGGGAAGTTTGACATTGTAACCTTTGACAATTCTGTAATAGTTCAGAGACCCCACCATTCTGCTGGGGCAAAAGCTTTTTTTACTCAATGTATTTCTGAATAAACTTAACTTGGGAAACTGTAGCTCTTCTTTATTTGCCTGTGAATGACCAGACTGAGGATTATGTTTTGCAAAATAATATACAAACTATAAAATGGCTGTTGCCAGTTACTTAGGAATTGATTTTAACAACTTTTTTCTTCCTCTCCCTCGTGGTGTATATGAAGTTTTTCACAACCCAGGTTGTGTTTTGCCACATATATTTACTATGCATAAATCATCAAGTAACTAACAAAATAAAAAACTAGTATAAAGTAATGATTAATAATTTGCCTAAAGCTTAAGCAGGATCTGGGCAGGAGAATTTGTTCTTGATATCACCTCCTCATATTGACTGTATCTCTTGTTTATTGTCTATTATGGTCATCATAACTTGGGTATGGAATAGAGATGGACATCAGTTACAGTAAATGAGTTATATGAATCTCTTGCTGTACTAGGGTAGTGAAGGTTCTCCTGGGAAACCTGGACCACCTGGGCCTCCGGTGAGACATTTTGTTTTGTATTTTGAATGTTATATTAGGAACAATATACCTGTGAGTAAAATGTAATGTAATATAAAGAATTGACTGTCAGTCTAATAGATATTAATAGTGCAGGATGACAACAATGTCTTTTTGCAAAAGGTTTCTGTATTCTTTTTTTTTCCTTGAGATTCATCTCTGAGCAAGTTCAGGTCACTAAAGCCATCCTACAAACTTGATCAAATGAGTTAACCTTGGTGTCCAATGTTATTAAAGTAATTTTGACAGCTTGGGTACCTGAGATCAGGGAAGTCAGGGAACCTAGGAAAAGTCCGTGGAGCTCACTGGTCTCCAAATTAACCAGGAGAGTTACAAACATATATACACAAACAATATATCACAAAAGTAATTCTGGAGAATTATAATAATGAATATAAAAATGTAACGTACACTGAGATTTACAGTTTATGGTTTTGTAATTAAAAAAAAAAGCCCCAAGCTGCATTGTTACGTATGTTATGTTCTTACTGAAATGTCTGGAATCTTTGAAAAATTGATCCAGAGCAAAAACGATACCACAGTTCTGCTGAGCTATGGGACTTGAACAGGGCAAGAGTTCTGCCTTTATAATTGATAGTTGTGACACTTACCTGGTTTGTATGTTTTAAAGGGTATGCCTTACAATGAAAGAAATGGAATGAGCAGCTTATATAAACTCCAGGTATTTCTCTTTAAAATTGTGGTTTGGTTTTGTTTTGGGTTTTTTTTTCCTTTTATCAACACATAATTTGGGCCGAATTCAACTTTTAAACTTGCTGTTACAGGGAGGTGTGAGTGTCGCTAGTTATCCAGGTCCACCAGGACCTCCGGTAAGTATTAAGAGAAACGTAGTTTCTAATAATTAATTAACATAGTAACAGAGGGGTTGGCTAGTTGCATGTATTTTTGGTAAGGAGCATGGAATTTTATTTTATATGTGAAAATAAGGATATGATCGGTATGTAGTAAATGATAAAGTATGTGATTTTATGTGTTTATCAAGCATTTTAGCCTATTTTGGAGGCTCATTTATTTTGATTTAAGTATTTCACCGTAGCAAATAAAGGCTGCAAAAATGGTACATAATTTTGCATTGGACTCTTTAGTGAAAGCATCCTAATATCTCAAAATGTGTAATATAATATTTATAGTTAGTGATGGCATAGTTTTGTAACGGATTAAATTTGGTGCTGGCAATGAGAAGCTCACGAATTCTGATCTCAGTTCTGTCACCGACTCCCTGTGTGTAGCTACAGTGCAGAAGGATGTGTAAACCCAAGGATGATCTAGTGGCACCAACAGAAGGCTGGTGCCTCTCCACACGGCGCGGTGCAGATGCACCACCTTGCAGCCGGTCATTGTTGCTTTGGTTCTGTGGAGCCAAAGAAGCTGTGCACTTATTTGGGTCCTCCTTCTTGTTAGCGTCTGTAGGCAAGTTCTGCTCTGTTAAGATGACTGTCATTTTGGTAACCACATAAAAATCTTGTAGCCATCAGTGAGGACTTTGTCCTTACGTTATGTGCTGTTTGTAGTCACAGGCTCGCACCAGACCGCAGAGCTGTCTTTCTCTGCATTCAGGATCAGCAAAACAAAAATCAGATATGACTAAGATTTTATACTGAATTAATCAGCTGAGAGGGCTGCACTTAATACTGAGTCTAAATGCAATAACAATGTATACTTATAATGCAGTTATCAAAAAAAAAAATCATTTTACTGTTCTTTTTTAAATGCATTTCCGCTGCTTCATTTCTTTTCAGGGTCCAAAAGGAGATCCTGGCACAGTGGTATGTATGTATGTTTTGGTCATGATAGAGAATTGCCCGCGTAGTTCAACACATGATCCTAGTCACAAGGGTGGAAGACTCCATTAACATTCTTCATCAGTAGCTTACCTCCTGCAGAATCAGTACATCTGAAAAAGCCTTTTTAATTGCCAGGCTTGCAAATTTTGCAATTTCTGGTAAATAATTCTAAGTGATAATATAATGAATGACTGAACATAGTATTAACTGTTTGTGGAGTCATCTTTGCTGAGCTGTCCCTGTATATATTTAAGGATAGAGAAAGTTTACTGCAAGAGATAAAGCCTTTACTTGGTACAGGCCTATAAGAAATAAAGGTAGAAAATACCTTAAGAGCTATTAGATTGTTCTCAGCATTAAATTTGAAACTGATTCATTTCAAATTAGGGAGAAGGGATGGTGTGCTACATCATGCCAGCTAGTAACAACTAGAAGTTTATGTTTTCATTGGAAATGGCATGACGGGTAGTTACAGTATGAGCCCATTGCTTCTAGCGAGCAAGGCAGTGATGAACATGGGAGCCACTTATACATTTCAACTACGCAGTTTGACATTCAAAAGCAGATCTATTTAACTTTTTGGCATTTTTTCCTTTAAGCATTTTGTTATGTCCTTTTCACATGATCTTTCTTTCAAAATTACAGGGAGGGGAAAGACTAGTGGAAGAATCTTGAGCAGTTGCATAGGCTAGCATAGGGCTAGCCCCCAGCAGAATGTAGATCCGAATCCTGACTGGGAATAATTTTTTTTCCCCAAAATTCCTGACACGCAATGTATCTTGCCTTTATAAGAGAGAAACTATATTCGTCATTGGCTTGCAATTTGTCACTACAGTTCCTAGCCTTGAAGGTGTCAAAGTTGAAACTTGCAGGTATTGCATCTTGATGACTGGATGTCAGTGAAAATACCCAAAAGATAATAGTAAAATTTGAGTACTGATGGTTTAGCCCAAAAAGTATGATAGTATCAAATGTCATTTTAAATGGATGTTGTTTTTAAAATTCGATAGGTGCTTTCACAGCAGTTAAAATTTCACTGCATTTGTGTACTTCTTTTCCAAGTGTAAGGAACGTCACATAACTGCGTGATAGTTACAACAGTACAACACTGCAAGGCAGCGGAGCAGGTACTGCTCCTTCATGATCAGTGTGTTAGAACTGTGTCCAGCAGACCTCCTTTAAACTTCAGGCAGTATAACTGAATCAGGATGAGTACCATGTGTCAGGAAATAGATGAGAAAAATTTTCTGATAAAAGCCATAGAAGCTGAGCTATTTAGGAAACAAAATTGTGCCCAATTGGACTGAACTTCCCATGATCTGCTGATGAATTGTCTACTTGATAAAGATCAGGAAACCCTGAAAAATGTTGAATATTGAAAATATAATTTTTGAAACAAAATCACATCCCTTCCAGCAGACAAAGTAAAGAACAACTATGTCTGCTACTAATGAAACAAATTACTACTTCAGAGAAACACAAAGTTCCTTAACGCATTCAGGAGATCATTCAACCACCAAGAAGCTGACACTTGACCTCTCCAGATGCTGTCGTGTCTTCAGATTGTTAGCCTTTGGCAAAATAAATTAAGGAGATGGTTCAGCCAACATCTTGGATGATAGGTAGTAAAGAATCAGATCAAAGCACAGCAAGACTGTTTAAACATCAGTAGACTGGCCTTGTCTGAACATATCAGGCCACAGTATTTAGAAGATGATGGAGTGTCTTCTCCTGTTGAAGGGTTCTCATATTCTGACTTGGGTCCATATTGTGGAGTCTTTCTCTTCAGTACAGTGTGAAACTACGGAGAAATGTCTTTACTCATGAAATCAGGGTGCCAGTACCTTTTAGTTTTATCTTTTTTTCTACCAGTGCAGGCACAGTATCTACAGAAAAATAGCAGCAGAATTAAGTACAGCTAGCTCAGAGTAACCCAGCCACGACCAAAGTGGTGTCATAGAATCATAGAATAATTTGGGTTGGAAGGGACCTTTAAACTTTATCTAGTCCAATCCCCCTGCAGTGAGCAGGGACACCTTCAACTAGATCAGGTTGCTCAGAGTTCTGTCCAACCTGACCTTGAATGTTTCCAGGGACGGGGCATCTACCCATCTTTTGATTTAACTGTCAGTTGCTGAAATACTGGAACTGTTGGCTGTAGTTTAAATCTCTGTGGTAAATTGTCTGTTGATTTTCTTTAAAAAAGGAAAAAAAAAAAAGAGACCTCCCCACTCTACATGTTGAACTGATTTCTCCAGTGGAGCAGTGTTTTCTGGTTTTCTTTCAAAACTTGAAGACTTGCACAGGGACCTAGTCTGTGTGTCCCTTGCTGCAGAGTAAGCTTTGTTAGGGAACAGAGCTCTCTTCTGAAACAGCGATTCAGAACAATGATAACAGTCTGGAAAGTTACACAAAATTGCTTGGAGGTTGGTTATGTGGTTGACAGGATGTGTTCACATACCAGGACTCCACCACCTGGAGGTGCTTTAGAGCTGATCTTGGTTTGCGAGAACACTTGATGGGAGTCTTCTGGATTACATTCTTCATTAAAATTAAAACCGTTAATCCAAATATTCACACGGTGCCTCTGGAAAATCTTAATTTGCAGATTACTGAACCAGGGCATAACAAAATCTGTTCGATACTAATCCCAAATTAAATAATCTGCTGTTGCTTGCTGTTCAGAGTAGTTTCTCATGTTTCTCATGTAGAGTTCAGAAATTCTAATCTATGCAATCCTTTTTAATTAAAAAAAAACAAACAGGGAGACCCAGGACCAATGGGATTACCAGGACTTGAAGGACTCCCAGGGGAAAAGGTAGGACTCTTAAAAAAAGAAGTCGTGGCTTCTTAGTGGCAACTATCTACAGTTAAATGTTTTCTGAAACTGTTTGAATTTTTTTTTAAACTAATATTTCTAGATTTGCATATTTATCTGGTTGGGTTTTTTATGCTTTACTGTGGATCTAAAACATTCATTTTCCACAAATGGAAAATTGTATGTAGAAGGTCTTGTAGTATTTAATTTTCTTAAATTGATAGAATATTACTATATGCTATATTATATATAGTTTATACTATATCACCTGATAATAATATAATTAACATGTTCCTAAATATGGCCGCTAGTTCTTCTTCTCTATTGAACATCATCTGCTTACAGCCTCTCTGTCTTGTTCTAAGACGGAGGGCATAGCTACAGATCCGAAGAGAAGTTTGTACCTGAGTTAGTCTAGACCTAGTGCATGCAAGATTTGCATACAAAAAAGGCTATTTCAGATTAGTGTAAAAATATAGGAGATGGTAGAAATAGAAGGAGAGACTGATTTCCTGCAGTTCCTGTTGTATTGCAGCCTGTTCCATGTGAGGGCAAAGGCGAGAATCTCACTTCTTGCATTGTCGCTCATTAGCCAAGGCCCCTCGTTTCTGTTTTGCTTTTCTTGCGCTCCGTAGTGCCTGTATGAAGCCACCATAGCACATCCTGAACTGTAGTTCAGATCTGTCTTCCAGTGCTAGGAAATGATCCTTTCCTTCAGCTTGTGGCATGTTTCAGCCTTTCACTTATTAGTTGCGGAGGCTGATAGGAATTTAAAGAAAAGCTTGTAATGAAATGTTGAAAGTTTCAAGATTTTGGTATTCATATCTAAATATGGCAAAGCACAAAAAAATTCAGCAGAGAAATGAAAAAAATCTGAAAATATGCTGTCAGTGGAAACACTTTGATTTTGCCTATATCTTCTAAATTTAAGGAGGAAAACATTTTTTTTCTAATTTTAATATTTATTCAGCCTTTTTGAATTATATGTTATTTGATTACTTTGTACCAAAAAAGTCTACTGAAAGTTATTTTTCATCAAAAAGCAGTGTAAATGAAGTTTCTTGATATCACTGTACATTACTCCTACTTGTGCAGAGAGTGGGGATTGACATGATCTAAGGTAGGTGTCTACAGTAGATGTTTAAATTACATGATTCTTGCTCTAGAAGACTACAATTTACAAGCAGTTAAGGACTAGCCTGATTTCAAAATGAACAAACACATGGAGATATTACAGGTCTAACTGAGACAAAGTGAGGAAAAGCATTACATAAAGGAAATAAGCAGTGGAGCAGATTCTATAAACAAGCTGAGTGAGTGCTTGGCCCTTTGTCAAACAAAAATATCCTTTCCTTAACTAAATTTGGTCAAAATTCCACACTTCTGGTGCAAATAAATGAACAGAATCCCAGAGTCTGCCTGCCAGTCCCAATGGGATAGTGCATGCTGGTTTTTAATTTAGAGCTATTAGGTACGTCTGCGAAGCAGAATGCCATCTTCCACAGACAACGTTGGCTGTAATTTCATGGTAATTTCATGAACTGGCTTGAGAACTTTGTATCCTCGGGGTAAAATGTCCCTTCCCTCAGCTGTGCTGACACAGTGGTTTGTGCAGCCGTGCTGTGAATCACATCGCTGAAAAGACCAGAATAACCCTCAAAAGCAAAAAAGCTGGAAGGGAAGTGTTGGGAATTTCTAGCTACACTGTTGCAGCCAGTGTGTAAGGAAGACACCACGATACAAGTTCTGGGTGCAGAAGGACCCCAGGGACAGACTGCAGTGCTCCAGCCAGTACACCCTGCTGCAGATCCTCAGTACTTGAGTGTTCCCAAGGTGCACGTTGTGTTCCTCACTGAGGGGTGAACTTGCATTAAGTGACTTCTCTTAGTCTCGAGAGCAAGAAAGGTTGAACTGTGGCCTGTAAGCAAGCTTCTCCCTCCTACACAAGGTCAGACACTTGTCAAAGTGTCTACACTTTATATAATGGAGCTAAGTGTTTCTAATTACCAACATTGTCATTGTGTTACCTGAACAAAATTATGAGAATGAGATGAATCAGTGTTCGGTATAAGAACAGAAACAAGAAATCCCAACATCTCCTGGGGCTCTTCTGTACAACAGAACATGGCTATAGCTCTGTTGGCGGGGCTTTTGCAAAACAGGCACAGGTAACATAAACTCATCTCACAAAAATATTCTTCTGTTAGTATTGCTTTAACTGTGTCAGGGCTTTCCTGACATGATTATAGAAACTAGGAACCTGATTTTTCTCTAACATTTTTAACCAACATTGCACTAATAGAGTGTAGTGTTACAGACCAATACATGTGAGCAGTGGGTTTAGAGTTTCTTCACTGGTGAGCTCCATCCATCTGCTTTGGGTTATAGTCCTCTCAAGAGAGAAAGATGGGTTTGTGCCCACACCTCATCAGCTCCAGCATAAAAGCCATTGTCTCAACTTAAAGCATAGATGAAGGTGGCCATATGCTAAAGACAGAAGCTTTGCCCTGAAAGGACCATGGCACAAGCAAATCGAGGATGCTGACTTGCAGCAAATGGATGACTGGGTAGCAGGAAGGTGAAAACTTCTTTGGAAGATACATCTTAAATATGGAGATGTTGACATAATAGTGAATTACACTATGTGAATTTTGGTCGTTGTCATGACCACAAATAATAATCATTTAGAAAACTACAGATAAGTCAGGGACTTTCCATCATTTTTCAAGGAAGACCTCAAGCAGAGTATAAGGGATAGCATGGAAATTATGACATTATGCAAGAGAACCTAAACGAAGGACTTAAGTTACTTGCTCAAGTCTCTAAAATGAGTCAGTGGCAGGGATAAATATTAGCATTTAGCAAAACCTGGCTTTTGTCCTAATTTTCAGTTCAGCGAATAATCTTCCTCAGGTTTTAATGGGAATCCACAAACAAACTTGTTTTGATTGTTACCATTTAAGTATAGATTTGTCTTTTCTTCAGGGTGACCGTGGACCAACTGGCACTCCAGGAATAGCAGGGACACCGGTATGTATATTCATTAAAGAAAGTTCAGTTTGTTAGAAGCTGAAAAAACGGGTCAAGCAAGATGCTGAGCGGTAATCTCGATCATTGTTTTTGGAATGCCAGCGCTTGGCTAATGCTTTATAGGCAGGTATGAAAATTATGTGGTTTTGCTAAAGAGAGTAGAGTTTTAATCCCACTGAGGGTTCATACTGTTATTAAAATGGTGGGAGGGAATGGTGCGAATACATGATAAAGCTGGAATTTGAAGCTGCATGTGCTTAGTTAAGAAAGCGTATGAGATTTTTCTCATTGCCTCAGTTTAATATAGATAAAGACATTTTCTGTGTTCCGGGGCATACACAAATTTCTGAGCATCTTTCTATCATAAAGAAAAATTATGAATGTTAGTTATTGCAATCCACAAGGATCTGCATATCAAGTCAATCAAACATTTGCTTTAGGAGAATGCTTTATCAGTTATTTACATGTGGTATTCAGAGAAGTTTTTGAAAGTCATCCAGAAACTTTCTTGTAGGTGAAAGTAAATGCAACTAATGATAAATTGAAATTATAATTATTCATTTGTGTTCCTAAAGGAAATTAAGACAACTTTTCTTTAGATTGCATTCACAGTTTAATAAAAAAGTTTATCCATATTTCAGGAGGCAATATGGAGTTATTTATATGCAAATACATTTATTATTAAATTTGGACAGCTACCAATCCATTCAGGAGCTGCTTTTAGATTATAAATATGTGTTTCATGAAATAAAGAGAAGTTTGTGTCTATGCATTCCCATTTCCATTAGCCACTGATTTAGTGTAGTTACTGGGATTTCCAAGAGAGAACATCAGCTTAAACAGCTTAATTTAATTAAGTTATCCTAAAACAAGGTAAAATTACACATTTAAGGGGAAAAAGGTAAGTATTTCTCCGAGCTTTATAGCCCGTGTAAGAGTCTCAAAGTTTGTTGCTCTGAAATATATTTCATGCTGTGAATCAATAATGCAGTAACCAGTTAGGATGATCACAATTTTTCACTCCCCATGTATTTCTCACTGGGTATCTTCCAAGTCTTCATCTTGTTGCTCTCTATTCTAGCTGGATATGAAATACTTAATGAGTTCCCTTCATTGCTGATGGAGTTACATTCTGTTGATTACATTTAATTCTAATAAAATCCACTGAAACAAATTATTTGCTTTAACATTTTATGCTAAGCAGTTTTAATTAGCAAAGGGATAGACATATAAGAGACAATATTTTTTAGTAAACTAGGAAGAGTTTGTGAAATATATCCACATATCTTACTGGAAGACAATTTGTCCTCTTTGCCTGTCATTATTCCCTAGATTGAATAGTGGACCCTTTTTCCCATTTGGGAATATAAACCTCTCATTTTAGCTTTGGCTTTTTGCTGAGGGGGATTATCAGGGAAGCTTATACTGAGATTCTGCAAGAATTGCCACTGACGCCTATTTCCTTACCACGAATCCTCAGTCCTCTTGTTCCTGAAGATATCACTGGCGTTGATGTGTTAGATCCCCCACTTGTACAAGTCAGCTGAAGATCTGATCAAAGGATATTTCCAGGAAACATAGATTCAGGGCAATGGATTCTTGTCTGGGGCTGAACCAGATAGCCTGTTAGAAGCAAAGACAACCAAGTGATTGAGTTATGTTGTACACAAGAGCCAAATTAACATGGCTCAAATGTTAAAAAAATCTGGTAAAATATTACTTTTTCCTCTCTTAAAACATTTAATGAACAGTAACATGAATATTTCACTCAAATATGTATCCTCTCTTATTTTTGACCTAAGAGAAATTATGTTTTGCTTCCTAGTAATTTGGATTTGTAATGTTCTCTTTTTGCAGGGAAAGCCGGGATCTCCCGGGTCCCCAGGGATGCCGGGGGAACCTGTAAGTACAAATTTGTGTTCTGGACTCTTATGATAATGCACAAATATTTCAAACACCGAATGCAATATTTTACATATAGATTTATATGTGTGGGTTTTTTCTTTCTTAGGGTGAAAGAGGACCTATAGGAGACATAGGCTTCCCCGGGCCAGAAGGCCCACAAGGAAAACCAGTAAGCAATTTTATACTGAATATATATGCTCATTACAAAGGATATGTCCTAGTTTATCAGAAGTTACAAAAGAAATGAGATTACATCCTGTTTTGCACTAGGCTAGGTAACATCTGATGAACACTTAGAGCTACAGTGCTCAATATTAACCATCCAGTCAACAATTTCTAGTATTGTGATGTTTTAATAGTTAATGTTACTGAGATGTTGCCTTTAAAGGTCTTATGAGGGTCCTTTGGATCCTATTGACATAAAGGATACTCTCATATTTTTTCAAAAGGAAAATATTAACTCAGATACTCAACACTGTCTATAAAGGATGGGGTGACAAAATACATTCTCAGTTTCAGTTTAGATAGAGAAATGTGTGCTTCATGACTCTGAATAAACTTTATAACTCTTCTGTATACAGGTGATGCAACACTGCAGCTGAAGCATTTACTGTTCACTTAGGATATGTCTAATCTGACTTCTTTATTTAATAAAAGTGTGCCAGCAGTGTAGTCAGCACTGTCTGAGCTGGTTTAAAACAACCTAGTTGATATTCCAAAAGTGGTTCAGCTAGGATGAGGCAGAACTCATTGTCTCGCCCAAAGCTTGGTGTTCTGGGGACGAGCACAAGAAGCAGACCTTCTCAGTTTGTCAGCACATCTCCACATCACGCTTCTGTCTTGAAAGAAGAGACAATTTCTGTAACTTCAGCAGCAAATTGGCCCAAGGTGCCTAATCGGTGCAAAACTCCACTTTGCAGCATGAGAGGGAAAGAAATGGTGTCTTTGCTCATGCAAGTCCTTCTTTCTCGCTCAGCGAAAATAGCAGTGAGTTTGCTGCATATGCGGATCCATGTGTATCCCAGCAAATCAAACAGTGCTGGAGCACTTACCTTGCAACTCTCTGGCATTGTGCATTTGTTAACATACTCTCTGACATTATTTTCACCCATGCCGACTACGACTCTCAGATAATGCCACATTCCAGTCTGGGGGATAACATGGGCCTGGGACCACTTCCAGCAGGTGGTATGAATGGGACCAGGTGGAATGAATGGGACCACCCTCCTTTGGGAAGGAAATACGTTTAGCCTAGGAGGCTGAAGCTGTGCTGTGCCACGAGCCCTAAGGACCAAAGAATTGATTTGGCCACTTACTATTAAGGGCATAGTCTCTGTAACAGCAGAAGGGTAATAGGGCATCAGGGCTAATATCTAGAATAAAAGAAATCTCTTCTATTCTCTAGAATAGAGAAATCTCTATCTGGGACTGGAAACGTGCATGAACAGGTCCATATTCCACGCTTTCAGAATTTCCATATAACTTGTCATTTAAAGTTATGTGCCCATTAAAGCTGATACACATGTTGACGCTGAAGATATTTTTTGCTCTGCTCTCAGCTCAGATTTAATGTGCTTGCAGTTCAGTATCACCCTGAGCTCTGTTATTTCACGTCTCAAGACTGTATTTCTATATCATAACCACAAAAACTGCTGCCTCCGCAGCTTCAGAATATGTACTGATACCAGCACTAAATACTGAGCTTTGCGCTTTATATTTCTAAAACACATATACATAAGCTTTTTTTTTTTTTTTCCCCCCTAGGGAATCAATGGAAAAGATGGATTGCCAGGTCCTCCGGTAGGAAAACATGCTTTTGCATACTACTGTATTTTGTTCTTCACAGATACCGTAGCTGTTAATCCTAGGCAGTTGCTTTCAGTTCTGCTAACAGATGAATATACAAAAAAGCCTTTAAGTGATATGTTTATCTTTTTTCAAAAACAATTTTTCAGGGTGCTGTGGGGAGACCAGGAGACAGAGGACCCAAAGGAGAACGTGTAAGTCCTTTATTTTAATAACTTTTTTTCATTTTACTGAACATCTAAGCACCTCATCAGAGTATATTTTACAGGCAAAACCTTGAAATTAAATCTCTGTGAACTTCAAGCAATCTCTTAGACAAAGTGCTGTCTAGGACTAAAGCCCTTAGTTAAGGAATTAGAATTGAATTGACTTTTGCATTTAGACAAAAAACACGTTTTATAGACTTTCTAACACAGTTGGCCTGGACAGTGTAAATTGATCAACAAGTTGAAAATTAGAAAGTAGTTAATCCTGTTGTGATGCTTGCTGTCAGACACTGCAAGAGCTATGAAGCTTGCCCTGTCACCATCCCTGGGATCATTGTATGTCACAAGCACAAACCAGGTTTTGTACAAAACAAGCTTGTTACACTTAGGCAGCAGGAAATACTGCTTCCCAAAATATTTAGACAGTTCTGTTCACGGTAACAAGATCATGGTGGAGAGGAATCATACAGGAGGTGAGAGATGATCTTTATTTTGCTAGAGCAAAGAAAATCCTGGCACATACTCTGCTCCTGTTATAATGTTACTAATGCCCTGATTCCTAATCCAATTGATACCACTTTTATTTGATGAATCAGAAAAGCACCTCCCTGTGTAATTTGGGAAAGGAAATGCTGCTTTCTGACGCTGAGGAGACATGAGGTTTTAAACATTATTGCAATAATTGTCCCTTACAAAAATGAACAGTTTGCAATGTTCTGTTTCTGCCTTTAAGGACACAAATAAAAGGTAAGAACCTTCTTGACTGTACTACCTACTGTGTACTGCATCACACCGCTCAGCCGTGCCCTTCTCAGCGTCAACCTGAATGCCCTGCAAATAGCCCTGCCCGCACACCCAGGGGAGGAGGCTGGACCTGTAAGTGCGTGACCCTGAAACATACTGGCAGGGAGGAGGATGTTGAAAAAGTCTCTGACAGACAGAGACACAGCCTTAGCTTCTTCATCGGAGTGACATTTGGGAAGCTTCAGGGTAAGAGAAGAGGATTCTATTCCAGTCTCACTGGTGATAGAGTACATACATACACACATGTACACGTAGCTCTAGATGTAAATATGGATATATGCTTGCTCTCAGAGAGGTCACAGATGCCTGAATCTGCTCTCACATCTGGGATCACTGGCAAACATGTCGCAATCTAGCTCTCTCTGTACAGAGTAAAATAAATAAATATACACACACACACACATATAAAAATAAAAGAAATATATAGTTACATGTTAAAAAATAAATTGATTTCCAGAAGTATTTTTGTCTCAAGTGATAATCAAAATCTCTCACAGCCTTTTATAACAGGAAAGGTATAAATATGCCCAGTGCAGTATCTGAATACAGTTTTCAGGAAGCTGCCAGTTGTTCCTTACGATTCTGCAGGAAAAGAAAAGGTTTGTCGAAAACAATGGGAGATCTACATTAGAAAGAATGGCAAAATACACAGCAGAAGTCTGCATCTTGGGTAAGGTCAGTGGGGGAATTGGAGTTGATTACAGACCTGCATTTGTGAGAAAGATTGCAATGATTACAGAAAATAACACAAAGTCAAGGTTTTCTTGCAGCCATTATTATTACTTCTGTACAGCTTTCTCCTTCAGTTTGAGACCAGCTGCTGCAATTACAGAAAAGAGAAGCATCAAAATTGGAAGGACAGAATAAAACTCTTGAGGTTTTCATGTCTAATATAAGTATATCCATGTAGAATCCATTTTAAGAAGGAAGAGGTCACCTGGGCTGAAATAATCTTATACGTCCTTTGAGTGACTAAACACTACTGTGACAAACCGGTGGAAAACATGTGGTTTACACCAACCAGAAATATGCCTTTCCAGTCATTTCAACAACAAATTAAAGTACTGGTGGCCGGCTCATTTATTGCTATTATTTTCATACCTTTATTGCAGACCGGGAGCCCACATGTAGAAACCCAGGCAAAACTCTTCCTCCTGCAGGTAATTTAGTACAACATTAAATGCAGGAGATAAGATAACGCTAGAAAGGAGGAGGACTGAGTAAATCAGCACAGTAGGAAGAGATTGCAAAATGTAAATGTCCTACTCTGGTTTTTGTACAATTCATAGTGAAGGAGAGTTTAAAGAGGAATCTGGAGGAAGATGCAACCTATTTTTATGAATTTTTATAAGGAGCTTCTTCTAAACATGAAGAAAACACTGGAAGCAGCTATAAATGCTTGTTTGAAAAGTGACTGTAATATTTGATCTGCCTCCTACAAGTTGGCAACCTGTAAAATGGGAATAATTTAGAAGAAAAGCACTTCCAGGATCAGCTTCCCACTGCCATAGCACCATGGTCTTAGAAAAACCTGCATATTCCTTTATTTTCCATACCTACTCTGCGGGGTTATAAACCTGAGAAATTATGTATGTATATCTATGCCTTAAATACATTTTTAATGAAGGCTTCTTATAAATATAGTAACCTTCAGACAGCTTTTTTTATCTATGTGGGTGCATGCATCATCTCATTTGAAAGCACTATCAGACAAAATGGCGTGTTCAGTGGCTCCCTGTTCTCGACTTCAATCTCCAAAAAAATTAGTAACAAAACATTATATTAAAGTCTTTACCTCTTTCAAGTTTTCAATAACATATGGTAGAACAGGAGTTGTTCTTCAATTTTATAATGTTTCAGGTTGCTATGAGTGAAGCAGGAGGTGGGGGTTTGGATGCAAAAACTTTGTGAAGGCCAGGAAAGAGCCTATTTCCTGAAGACCACAAAAGTTCTGCTTCTCAGTCAGAGACCTTCCTCTGCCCTGAATTTCTCAAGGTGTTGCAATACACATCCTGATGCAATAGCTGTATGCAGGATAGAACGCTTTTTCCTATAAACCTCAAAATTTATAGAAACTCGAAAAGTATGCCTCTTCCATCAGAACATTACTCTTCCAATTCCCCCAATGCACATACACACCCTTTCCTGCTCCCATCGACTTGAAAATTTGAGAGTCTTTGACAAGGGTTACAGGTGTCTTTTGGGTATCACATCATATAGTCTCTTTTTTTTTTTTTCTACTGAATAACTAAATTAGCTGTATGTTTGTAGGAAATCCTTAATATGCTGCATATTTAGAGTTTTGCCCAAAGTATTAACGCGTGGAAACTAAAACTGGAAATCAGGAGTCTGCAATATGGGCAGAATAGGTCTTTTAAGAGAAACACAATAAATGTAATCACATTGAGGTTGTTTCCATGTCACGCTGACTTTCCTGACTACGTGGTCATGTTAGCAGTCTGACAGGATTTACACAGCAAGATTTTGGTAGCGCAGGGGTGGCCTCTGTGAGAAGACACCAGGAGCTACCCCCATGTCAGACAGAGCCAGTTCCAGCTGGCTCCAGGACAGACCCTTCGTTGGCCAAAGCTGAGCCCATCAGTGACGTGGTAGCACCTCTGTGATAGAAACGCTGCTCAACAGCTGCTGTGAGAGAGGAGTGAGAAAATGTGAGAGAAACGGCTCTGCAGACACCGAGGTCAGTGAGGAAGGAAGGGGAGGAGGTGCTCCAGGCACCAGAGCAGAGATTCGGCTGCAGCACATGGAGGACCACGGTGGAGCAGATATCCACCCTGCAGCCTCTGGAGGACACCACGCCAGAGCAGGTGGTTGTGCCTGGAAGCAAGCTGCAGCCTGTGGAGAGCCCGCACTGGAGCAGGCTCCCGCCAGGACCTGCAGCCCATGGAGAGGAGCCCACACAGGAGCAGCTTTGCTGGCAAGACCTGTGTCCCATGGGGGACCCACACTGGAGCAGTCCTGTGGGACTCCAAAGGACTGCAGCCTGTGGGAAGGACCCATGCTGGAGCAGTTCATGAAGGACTGTATCCCATGGGAAGGACCCCATGCTGGAGCAGGAGAAGAACGTGAGAAGGAAGGAGCAGCAAAGGCAAAGTGCTATGGACTGACTGCAACCTCCATTCCTCATCCCCCTGCACCACTCGGGGGAGGAGGTAGAAGAGTCACAAGTTGAGCCTGGCAAGAAGGGAGTGGGTTTGGAGGAAGGTCTCACTATGCTGCTCTGTTATTAATTGGCAATAAATTAAATTAATCTTCCCCAAGTCAAGTCTGTTTTCCCCTGATGGTAATTGGTGAGTGATCTCCCTGTCCTTATCTCGACTCACAAGTTTTTCATCTCATTTTCTCCCCCTGTCTTGCTGAGGAGAGGGAGTGAGAGAGCAGCTGGGTGGGTACCTGGCAGCCAGCCCAGGTCAACCCACCACACAGGATAAAACTATAAGTGTGAGATGATGCGATGATTTTGACACCTAAAATGTAAGCACCTAAATTCTACCTCTGCCATATGTGACGTTTCTGCATCCTTGTATAAGGGCTATAAATCTTCTGCACCCAAGTTCTGACCTTGAAAACTGAGTTACAGTCTCAAGCTATTTTTTTTTGGTTATTGACCTCAACATTAAAAGTGTAAGAAAACAAAACATTACTTGCTGTGTTTTCAGCGACGAGGGTTCACCTGTAAAATCAGCTTCCCTGCACGACTCGTAAAATCTGTTTCTGAACAGGGAAGAAGTTTCTCTTTAGCATTCTTGGGTGACTTTTCCTACTTTGTTCTACTGTGTGCAATGGTTTTCCTTCTGCTTTTATTTTACACAGGGAGATCAGGGTATTCCAGGGGACAAAGGTCCGCAAGGCGAACGAGGGAAACCTGGCCCATCAGGAGAAAAGGGGGATGTAGGTCCCATTGGGCCACCGGGAGACAGAGGCTATCCAGGATCACCAGGACATCAGGGTCCCCCGGGTTCACCAGGACTCCCAGGGTTTCCTGTAAGTAAATACAAGTTTTTCTTGGTTGCTTGTGAAGTCAGAAGACATGAAGGCAGCATGTGCTGGGCAGTGGATATTCAACTGAGCAGTACCACAGTATCAGAAGAACTAAGATATCTCTGAGATAATTTCAGTGTTCAGTTAAGAGTTATGAAAAAAACATACGCACGTGATCAAGCAGTTATTTTAAATTTTCTTTTAAAACGTGTGCTAAGGATAAACTTTAATTATTTACTTCTTTAGCTCCTGACAAATCGACTACTCAATGCTGCTCATTTTCAAGTTTTTCATAAGCTTAAGAGCTAAAGTGTAATTCTTCGCAACCGAGAAAGAAAAGGAGGCAGCCAAAAATGATTCTCAGTAAAAGGGAAATCAGCATTTAAAAAGACAGTGAGCTGCTGCGTCTCAGCTGTAGATAGCTTGGTTTCCATGTGCGCACAGGCACACATCCACGTTATGGGTTCTTTTTACCCTCAATCAGATCCTCAATCAGACAGGGTAAAGCTCTAAAAACCTCTTCCAGTGAGGTTATTGGTCCTGGGATGCAGTTTTAGTTAGTCGGCCGTGCATCGAGAGGGCTGGGCCTGAGAGGGGGTGAGAAGTTGGCAAAGGTTATGCAAAAGGCAGGTAAAACATAGCAGTGTCACTGGGCATCCTTACTGTCTTCTGCAAATTAATTTCAAAACACATAACATGCTATCATCTTGACAGTTGGGACTGCCTCTTCCACTTCATGGTATTAGTGGTCTTTATAATATTACAATATATTGGCAACAAAGTGGCCTTTGCATTTAAGTAAATAAGACAAATATATTAAAATACTTGAATTTTGGTGAAAGCTTTACATTTTTAGTGCTAATTTCAGCATTTTTAAATTTTTTTAGCATCACAAAGTGCCCTCGGTATGTTTCTTCTGATGCATATCACCTTTTTTTTTTTTCTTCATCAGGCTGATACAGTTTCTCTTGAAGAAATAAAAAAATACATCAAACAAGAAGTTCTTAAGGTTTTTGAAGGTAAGAAAATTAAATATTATACAAGTAAATGTAAATCTTAAATTATGTTCTAAATATTTTACATCCCTACAGCCTTTATACAAATTTCTTTACATGTAATCGTATTTACATTGGACTTAGCAGCTGTCTTGTCATTGTAGCTATGTTTAAGTGCTGTTGAAGTCTATTTAATATAATTATGTTCAAACAATTATAAAATATAGTATTTGTTAACCAGAGTATTTCCTTATATAAAAGATTAGCATTAAAAGGTAGCTGGCTCCAGATCATAACAGCAAACATATGTATGTTTCATTGTAGATATAGGTACGTATCGCATGTTATTATAGATTCATATGTAGCTGACACATCATTAAGACACTGAATATTTATTAAAGTGGAGACAATAGAAATATCTAATTATTTTGACCACTTAATGGCTATCTAAATGGGAGAAAAGCGTGACAGCTTTCAGTCACGCAGGTCTAAACTGCTGTGCATTTTCAGCAAACAGCCCTGCCGAGCTCCAAAGCTCCCTTGCAGACCAACTTCTGGCACAATTTTAGGCAAGTACCAGATTCAGCCAAGGCCTTTGTACTATGTAACCTTTCTTAGCTGTGTCCTTACTCTGAAAAGGAAATATTTTTCTTCCCCAGCGTTTTCTTAGTCAGGGTTGAAAAGCTGTGACTCAGGTAGGTGTCTGAAACAAGCTTCTGCTAGAACACCTCTTAACAGTAGCTTCTCTTCCATTGCAAACTGCATTTCTTATGTCTGCAATATGCTTAGCTATTTTGTCGTTAATATCTGTGGATACAAACCCTTTTATCTTTTAGGGATAAAAGAAATCATATAAAGCTTGAGGCTTTTTAAACTGCTCAGGCAGTTTTTCACTTTACAACAAGGCTATCTTTTTGTATGTTTTCACCCTTCCCCGGACTGCTACCCCTTAGGAGTTCAACCTACTATGTATTTCAAGAGCAGTTTGTTGGCTGAAGTTACATCCTTTTCCTATTCACATTGAATGGTAACAAGTATTTAGCCTATTCATAAAAAGAAAGTATTAACAGGTGTCCTGCCTAGAGGGAATATTGGTCTTTATACCTATTCTATTTTCTATACCTCACTAGTGGTCCCACAGATCTATTTTTTGCTTTGTTTCACTTTGCCTATTTTCTATCACCTTGCTTATTTTTTGTTTGATGCCAAGAACTGTTCGTGGTGTTTAAGCTCTACTTTGCAATTTAATATGAGTTACAAACATATAAGGTAGCCCTTCTTAGGGGTGTTAAGTACTACTTATTCTGTATTCATGTATTTTAAGTAGTTCCATGAACAGGAGTCAGAAGTCATTTGAAATACCGAATACATTAGTAAAAGAGAGTAGTAATAGAAACTTTAGTACAAATGCAGATTATTTTGAAGGGTAGAGACTCAGACATGAGTCTGAGTTGGAACAGAAGACCTCAGTACCTTTGGGAACATTTAATACCTTGACATTTAGAAGGATTAAACACCTTACTTCCAGAAACTTACTTTAGCTGGGGTTTTGGGATTTATTTAGTTTCCCGTTATTTTGCTAGCAGATTTCTTACCGCTATTCCTTGTGTCCTTTGTTAATGAAGAAAGGATGGCCCAGTTTGTATCCCAGCTGAAGCTGCCTGCTGCGATGCTTGCCTCCCAAGCTCATGGAAAACCAGGGCCCCCAGGAAAAGATGGCTTACCAGGGCCACCAGGAAAGGATGGTTTGCCAGGCCCACCAGGAGAACGTGGAATTCAAGGTAGGAATTCCAAAAAGTTTCAATATTCAAAGATACATGAATTGTATCTTGAAATATTTATACACTTGCTAATGATTATTAAATAAGTCAGGACTACCTATCTAGCTTCCTAATGTTTAACTTTTAAAACTGTACTTATGTTTTTCCAGACTAGATCTAAATATTAACCCATTGTAAATGTGTGGATTTTACTGATTAAAAACTCCTAATCAGTGCATTTATTCTAATAAATGATAAAGTTAATTACTGACAGATATCTAAAGCTGACAGATATCTAGACTACTGTAGCAGGTTTGGTTTTTTTTTTCTGAAATACCTTAACAAGGAAGAAAACCAATGCCAGCACTCCAATGTAACTAGATCCTGTTCCATATTGAGACACCATCTTAAGTAAGAAAATTTGATCTCCAAGTCTGAGTGCTCTCAGCTCTGATCCTGAGACAACACAGGGGAGCAAAAACTGAAGGCAAATATAGTTCTTTAAGAAGCAGTGAAAACTGAAATATTACGACATTAATCCTTATTATAGTGAAATAATCTATTTTCACAAATCCATTTCAGACCAATCAACTTTTCACTATAACCCAAATGGTAATTTGTACATTGCAATGCATTCAGACAGTATAGGACTCTGATTCCACTGAACTGTCTTTTCCTGCAAAATTAGCTTCAAGGGATCCAGGCTCGTTGTAGCTGTGCTGTACTGTAGAGTCAGACTGTCAGAGATTAAAAGGAAGAGGAGAGCAGAACAAAAAGAAAAAAGAATTTATCAATGAATAATATTTTGTGGGCAATATGTAATTTGCAGTTTATCTGTAGGTAGTTCTTTATTATCTTTTGTTAGTTTGGTCTGCTCTGGAGTCAGAGCAAGTCAGACTGGAATGAAGAACATGAGAGCAAAGCTGAAGATGTGTGGATCCTAAAGCTATCAGAAGAATAAAGACTTACTAACACTGATAAGCGCAAACCCCTGACAGAAGCTTGAAAAGTGTGATGAGCTCAGAATGAGAAGAACAAGAATAAAGGATCAAGGAAAACAATAAGAGGCTTAGAATCTTACAACACTGACTTCATCATTACCTAAATATTCCAATCACTGGAAACAGTCAACTTCAATGTCAGTGCCAGAGTGTTCGATGATGCTTCTGAGATGTGGAATGTTGTACTAGGCTAGCGAGCATCAAGAGTAAAGATGATAGCTGTGCTTGAAAAAAGAAAATAAAGCTGCTTTTTCATGCCTTATGCTTAAGTACAAGTAGTGGCCTGTGTATGCAGGATTTCCATTTGTTTTACCAATATGCTCAATACTCTTTTTTGATTAGTAAAAGTTAAGCTAAGTGAGAAGCATTTACTTCTCTGATACATCAAAGCATATATAAAACTATACTTCCAAGGGAAGAAAACCAAAAATTTGTCTTGCCTTCTTTTCACACTCTAACTAGGAGATAGTATGGTGAGAGAAGCTCACTTACAAATACTGTTCATGCCTCTCCCAGTTGTGCCTCTGCGTGTTCCTGTTTTGTGCCAACAGTAGAAAGAAACTCAAATTTCTGACCAGATTGAAAAGTATCCTTCCATATTCCAGCTTATTTTCAACCATAAAAGACATAGCAGAGAAGACCTCTTGGAGAAGCACATTACGTGCATGTGTGGCTGAGACCATCAAGGTAACATGCTGCATGCACATCCGCCCAAGTCATAAAATACGCATTTGGTACTGACTACCAGATACTCCTTATTATATTTCTTGGTTGTAGCCCAGATTGCCAACTCCAGGGTTTTGATGAGGTTTTGCTGTGTGCAGTAACGCACACCTGGGCCGGCAGAGTGAGTGAGTCACTTGTCCCATACAGCCAGTGAAAAGAAGTGGACTTTTGGAAAGCAATTAAGAGGACCTCTGCAAGCCCCTCCAGAGCAGTTTGTGATGCTGCACGCTGAGCAGAGCGCCTGCTCGAGCCCGCCAGCAGGAAGGGCAGCTGCCGGCGTGTGTCCGAGCAGGCACTTAACTTGCAACTCCGTGCACCTCAAGTTCCTCCAGGAACTGAACTGGCCTGGCCTGGCCCAGTCGGATTCCACCAGAACATCCTTCTGCACAGCAGACCGATAGGTAGGTGTTAGTCCCAGAAGCAGAAAACATAGATTCTAAGTCTTGGAAGTGCAGGCATGGTCTTCAAAAAGTGTATTTAAGGAATTGCTAGACTCTTGGGAATAGAGTCAGTCATTTCTAATGAAGTCCAGAATGTTACCTGCTGGCCTTCAGCAAGGTTGTTCTTACTCAGGTACTTCCCGGTATTTCAGATACAAATAATTTTGATTTTTTATGAATGTCATAGAAAAAATACAGTATGTAAACAAAAAACAACGAAGAGTTGCAACTTAAATGATGAAATATGCAATTGGCATTTAAACAGACTTCATACAATAGTGATTGGAAGATTTTTATATATATATTTCTTCATTTAAAAAAAACCCTTATGGCATATGCATCAGCAAGCTGATGCTGTGAGGCAGTTACCAGCAAAGTGCACATCATCTGCTTAAGGGAGAGCAGAGAAACTTGTTTACTCTGTATGTGTTTTAAAGGATGCTAATGTCTCATAGAGAAATAGGAAGTTTGTGTCACAACTTCATAGACAAGCTATTGCAGTGTCATCCATTTGCAAACAGTCAGCCACTTTGTCATGTGTTAGAGGATCGGGCTCAATTAACTGCACCGACTTAATTGCATTTTTAAAACTATAATAGAAAGTGAATTTTGGTCCATTAGAACAAATTCACCTTGGGATATTATCCTCTACATTAATATGACTATTGTTTTTTTCTCAATAGACAAAAGGATTCATCTTAGTTAAAACTTCACCTTTTCTATCAAATCAAGGAAACGTAACAGTTTTTTATAGGTCTTCATAACTCATGGTAGCCTGGAGGAATCAAATATCACAGCTCAGGGAACTAAAATACCATGCGATGAATAGTCAAAATTCCTTATCTTTATTGCTAACCTCTGTTGTAAAATGTGTATCTCTTATTATAATTCTTCATTTGCATGGTGGGAGCATCTAGAAACCTTGGCTGACATCAGGAACCCATTTTAATGGATGTTGTCCAAACACAGTCACTCTTCTGAAATAACTGCACTGGTTTCAAGTGTTACCTCCTGCAAACTGTTCTGTTTGCTGTAGAGGGTGAAGTTAACCTGTTTTACTTCGATTTGAAACCCAGCTACTACCTCTCAGTTGAGAGGACTGTAACACACAGAAGGAATTCAGAATATGCACTGGAGGCTGGATGAGAAGACTTGCTCTTAGCACCCTTCCTGTTGCTTTCCAGTTGTTTGTTTTTAAGAACGCAGAGTATTTGCTTAGTATATCACAGTGGATACTTTGGTCTCATTGTTCCCCATCATGGTAATATGTTTGCCTCATATTTGTAGTAAAGAACCTCAGATTCCTCTAGACACTTGACATGCTAGTTTCAGGTGCTGCATAATCCATGCAGGTGGAAGAGGGTCTCCATGATGTGAGAGGAATACCTTCTGGAGCTGTTTAAATGAGAGAAATTTTTACCTCCAAGTTCATAGACATGAACTTGTGTCATATCCAAGTAGAGCTGAGGGTGTTGTGGTAGCGACGCTTCTGACCATGGTGTTTGTGACAAGCACCAAACCAAGAGCTGTACTTTAGCTATCACCACTCACCCATGAGCAGAAGAAAGCTTATCCGTTTGAACACGTACTCGCTACATACTGCTACCAAGTGTTTACCGTACTACCCACCTTGGGTACATGTTTACATACTACAACTTTTGGGTTGCAGGAATTACAACAAAACTTCTAGAACCCAAGTGAAAGGCTTTGCTAAAGCAGTTGCCTTTTGAATTAAGAAGGTACCTCTTACTGGAATTGTAATTCTACCAGTAAAAATAGACAGAATCTTATATGTGCCTTAAGTAAAAAACAATATATCAAGATCTGATTTAAGTGTATGGTAGTATTTTCCTTTGACTGTGTATGAGTTTGTCACTTTAAGCTCAGACAGATAAGTGATATTATCCTCTAGAAGTGTAATCGTGGCCCTACTTTTGAGCAAAATATACCTCATCAGAAATCAAATATTTTCTTGATAGAATTACACATTACATTGTTCTGATTGTTTACATATAAGCCTGTTTGCTGATATTCTTACATCCTGTTAAATAAAGCCGTATTTTTAGAAAAGATACCTGGGAATTTTTGTATTAAACTTCCGTGTCAACAGAACGTACCTGCCACTGTGCACAAATTACACCTTTGCACATGTATTCAGATACAGCCAGTAATGGTTTACACTACCCTGGATCATACATTTGCACTGGCAGGCTGCTCTTTGTGCTATTGTGGGTTATTTTCCTCATTGTCTTGGATTCCAGTGAAGTTTACAGAATCTTTCAGTCTATCTCAGTCTCTTTTCAACTATAATGTCTCGGATACCTACAGTAATGGTTAACATGGAGCTTGTAAATGTGATATATCGTAAATGTGATTTCTCTCTTTTCCCCGTAACTAAAGAAAAAGAAAAGCAAAACAAATGATCAGTGGCAGCACTACTTTGTAAAATTACAATTAACTGGGTTTGTAGTGAGAAATGTACTGTAACTATCTATTGTAAAGTAAGAAACATAGATAGATATATATAATAAATAGGAAATGTAATAGATCCTGTGGTTGTGTGATTGAGCTTCTCAAACGGTAGCAACTACTATGCATTACACAAGATTTTCAGAGCCAGTCAACTTGATGTATTTATAAATACCACCATGGTCATTAAAGAGCAAAATCAAGATTCACAATTGAATACAAATACCTGTATATTCCCTTTTCTGGGCCTTTATAGCTTGTGTGCATATATGCCTTGTACAATTCTGCTTAACACAACTTGGTGACCAGAATGCATGATTAATATTTTAAGTTTGTTTCTCTGTGAGCTTTTAAATAGTTAATTTCCTTTTGTTACGTTATGCATGTCACTCTGCATGCATTTTCTAATGTTTTTTTCCCTCACTGTAATTTACTTGTTGGGGTCCTGAGAGAAGAGTAAGATAATTGATGTTCTGTTTTGAAATCTAGAATGATTGCAACAGATGATAGACTTTCTACCAAAGTGTATAATGAGCTTGTGTTTAACGGAAAGCTTGAATACTTTGTGTATCATTCCTACTGTATTGTGTCCGTCGGAACAACCCTGAGTTGGTACCTACAGCACTTACAATTGTCCTGTGAAGTACCAGCATTGCCGTAGACCACAGTACACTGACTAGACATCCTTTGCCATCCATCTGCCAATGCCCATCAATCTTCATGAGACATCAGGTGGATTGATACCACTATGCTGACTGGTCAGCTGTGGCTTTCCTAGTTCAGCCTAAGTTAAAGCTCTTCACAAGAGGAAGTTTATTGTATGGCACAGGTGATCCTGGAAATGTACTGACCACTGAAGCAGAATAAATTTAATTCCTAATGTGACCAGGAGTTAGGAAATTAATCTTCAACATATGTCACCTTACATGCCAACGTCTGAGGTGCTGGGGAGGGAAGAGGGTTTCCTTATAATCCCTTTTAAAGTAAGGGGTTGTGGCAGGTGCCACACTTAGTCCTTTAAAAAATGCATTCAACCTCTGTCCTACATAAATTACATTCTGTAAACAGAAAAGCTACATTTTTAGATGGATTTTTAACTTGAAATATCAAGAAAAATGCTATACTGATACCCACAAGTCCTCTGCTGTAATGCAGCCTGAGTGTTTCCAACTATTAAATTTTTTTACAGTTTAAAGAAAATGAAGTAGGTTGGACATGAGTTGCAGCACCTGAGAAGATGGAAGCCGTTTAGATAAATACCAAGCCATGGCCTGAGAAGAAAACGGACACAAATATTCAAAGCATAATTAGTAATCACACCTTGTTAACACTATACAGGCACCTGGGTCAAAGTAGGCTTTGCATGCTAGAATCCGAAATCTGCACAAACTCTAAAGATGCGTCATTCCACATGAGGGTGGCTGTGTAAGGCTGCGGGGGAGTGGGTCTTCCCTTCCATACAGGGGACTATTTAAGCATATAAGTTCCAGTTTACCGTCTGAAAAAGTGCAGACGTAGGGATTTATGTAGCGCGGAGAGGGCGAAGTCTCGCTCAGTTTGTGGGCTATCAGAGAAGGGCTGGTCAGACTCCAGACGGCCTTTGGGTCGGTGCTTTACATCACTTCATCGAACAGGTAACACTGGAGCAGAATACGCCTTTGATTCTTTATTAGAGGAGCTTCAGGAAGGTGACTTAAAGTTTCGGAGAAGGGTCCCGCTAGCGAACGTAGCGAGAGTCCTCGGGCAGAGGATGCAACGGTTACTGCTAGGGATCCTCGTATTTTCCAGAAGGAACATGTAGACATAGGAGCTGTCTCGGAAAAAGAACTGAGCATGTGTTTTCACAATTACCTTTCTCTTGATTTGTCCTGTCAAGAAGGTATATGGAAGATCACTGTCTATAATACGAGGACGCTTTTATTTTCATATCTTTATTCTGTGTAGGTTATAGAGGACAGAAAGGGGAAAGAGGTGAGCCTGGAATTGGACTGCCCGGTAACCCTGGACCACCTGGCCCTGCAGGTACAAGTCTCCAGATTTATTTCTGCTGTTGCCATTTATGAACTGACAGGCCTTTCTCCTGGGTCGCGCCCCGGTTTTACACTCCTGCCTTTCTTCCCACGTTCGGTCATAGCGCAAGGTCAGACCCCCTCGCCTTCTCGCGCGTGAGCTGGCGTGCAGCTGGCTGTCAGTGGTGAAACGCGGGGCACCGCGCGCGCCCCGGAGAGCACTTGGCTAATTCTAACTTTGTTTTACCAGCTACTGGCCTGCCAGGCCCAGCGGGAACGCCAGGCTCACCCGGACCGCAGGGGCCACCTGGACCCAACGGAAGATGCAATCCGGCAGATTGCTATTACCACATATCACAGACTCGGTCACGCACCAGCGGGAAATAAAAACCCTGTCCCGTAGACACTTGGGTTCACGGTCACTTTTCACTCCTTTCAATAAGTTAATTTAATCTTTGAAATAATTGGTGCATTTTTTTTTTCCCCTCAACACTGTATGGTATATAGATAATTTATAAGGCACGGAATTGAGCCTATTTCTATGTTACTTGCAGTGTCGTAATTATGAAAGGATGACATTTATTTTCCAGAGTGCATTCCATGTGTTATGTTTCTCATATTTATCTTGCTTAGAGAAGAAAATAGGCCCAAATAATTTTCTTAAGCATCTTTCTTCAAACAAAAAGTATTTTATTATAACTCAAGACAGTATGTATGCCTCAGTATGTAAGCTGGCTGTATTTTTCTTGCTGATGGTGAAGTTTCAGTGGAGAAAGTGCATTTCTGAAGTTTTAAAGCACACCCATTCATGGCAAATGCAGGACCTGAGCTGGAGCACTGGGAACTCTAGACTAAACATTGATGTCCCTCAAGGAGGCTCCGGCACACCTTCTGAACCGGGTCTGTGCCATGCACCACGAACGCTACCCACCATTTCAGTCGCTTCCTAGATGTCGAAGAAGGAAATGAAGATGTGTTTATGATCTCTCTAACCCCACCCAACCTTTAGCTTCAGATTGACTGGAAATTTGCCAGGTGTAGCCCCGAGAAGCATCTCTCCCTGACTGGATGTTGTCCCAGCTGAGGTTTGTACATTCATTTAGTCATGGTTACGTATACTCCAGATATTAAACAGCTAGGGGCTGGTGTTGATGTTCCCCACTGAGAACTGGCACATCTTCTATCTGTTACGTGGACTTAGTAAGTGTAGTGTCATTGCCTGTAATCAAGCTACTCTGCCATTATGTCTGCTTGCAGCAAAGACGACCTCTTGCTTTAGAACAGAGGTGGTGGGTACGCGGTGAGACAGTGAAAGAAGGAACTTCACAAGCCTCTAATCTCACTGGTGGTGCAGTTTTCCTCTTCCTCCTGCAATGATTATGTGCCAAAATAAGCTTGAGAAGAACGGGGAAACAGTAGGATGCGAAACTCACAGGTCCTAGTAACTGGTTGCAAAAAATTATTTGAGTTCAAGAGAAATGCAGAAGACAAAACCCTCCTTGGAAAGGCGTACTACAGAGAGCATGACTGCATGCAGCTCGCAGGCATTCAGTAAATCTTAACAGGAGCAGACATGGTCAATGAAGAACAAAACAGAATAAAGTGTAAATCCTATAGATCTCAAAGGATTGAGGAAAAGAAAAGATGGAGAAAATCAATCACACAGAGGCTGGCGCTGAAAAGGGGGGAGTAGGGTTGGCCAAAGTTTCACCCCTGATTATTGGGAAGCAGATGATCCTAGATTAGTCCTAGGGAATGTGCTACAGTGCAATAGAAAGTGAAGGTGCTATTGAGAGAACATGGACAGCTATAACCCACAACCTCAAAATAAATCCGTAGTACAAAAGCAGTAGTGAGGGCTCTTGCCCCACCAGTAGGAAGACAGTTGTTCTCTCCCACATCAGACAGGGAACTGGTTTTGGTGACTTCATGCTTGAGCAGGACTGAGCCGCCAGGGAAGCCTTCCCAGATTGGAAGCGCTGGGTTCCAGAGAAGTTGCTGTGAGACACGGATCTGGCTGACTTCTGGGTTTTGCTTAAAAACAGTAAGGAATGACTGGCGGGAGTCTTTCAAAAAAGAAGTACATTGGAATTTGTTCTGAATAGAGTTCCTAGCACTTGCACCTGGACAGGAGGAGCAAGATGGGTGCGAGAGGCGATGGAGTCAACGCAGGTAGCTGGGGAGCACCGGCAAGCCTTCAGGCACACTTTCTGAGTGGGAAACCATACCCGCGTGACGTGTTAACCAGTTAGATGCTTGGAGGGAAGAAGGTGCTTGGCACAAGAGCGATGTTTAAGTAACCACGGAGATCAAAGGCCGAGAGTAACCACCTGGGACAGGAGAGGGCAGCAGGAAGGAGGACAACAGAAAACCTGTGGCGTACGGTGAAACCACCTCCTGAAGGGCACCTGCGAGCTGTAATATGCCCCGCAGCTGGGGACCCCTTGGGGGGTCAGGGTGCTTTGTCCGTCCCTCGTGAGGATGGGGACAGACAGGTCAAATCCCACGGGCGACCCACAGTCCTCACACCTCCTCTTCTGCTCATCCCTCGCTCTCCCTCCGGAGGCAATAACTGCCCCTTCTCTAGGCCAGCGCGTCCTCCACTCTGCGGGCGATGGGCGCCCATCCTGCGGGGTGAAGGTGCATTTGGAACGAGAGGTCCTGCCTGCGCTCAGCTCAAAACACACCGCTCCCGTTCCAGACCTCCGGTGCCCACGGAGCACGTCTTGGTTTGCTCTGCGGCCGTGGCCACCTTTCCAGATCCGGTCCCTGGAGCGCCATAGCTGCACGGACGCTGGGAACTGGCGTTAAAACCGAGCGCTTGTCTGTCCTGAGGCACCTACTGCTGCCCGGGCCACGGGTCTGCCAGCCCAGCGAGTAAAGCCAGGGGCCTTGCACCAACGTATATATATCGTGTGTGTGTGTGTATATACACACAACATACATGCACCAGCGGAGGACCAGGCCCCTCATGCTGTTTTCCATTCAGTCAAATGAACTGCTGGTCAGGTATCTTGCATGAACACTTTTTTCATTGATTTCTTTTTACTTCTTTAGTAATTCCAATATGTGTAAAAATTCTAAATATTTTTTTTACTTCCTAAGTTAATGTTAAACTTCATTTTCTGTGATAATATCAAAAAGGGTGCTGTCTTGTAAAGGATATCCGCGTGACTGAGAGGTTTCCGAGCACCCCCGTCCTGGAAGGCTGTACATAGACTATTGCGCCGCGTTAGTGGTATGTGTATATTTTGGGGCTTTTACCTAGCTGAAACGGAGCGTCTGGTGTTTGCCAGATGCAATTGCTGTATGTTAATTTACTTGAACTTATCGGAAAGCAGAACACTTTTTGTATTTGAAGAAGTTTATTTTTTCATCTATGTTTCCTACAGATGCCTTTTTCTTTTTATAGGCTCAAATCTAAAGGTCTTTTAAAATGTATTTGAACACGTTGAATTGATTTGCAGGTAACTTTGGTAATTATCTTGTTGCATTATTTTGTATTTTGCTAAAAGCCCACTTTAATTTTCTCACGTGAGAAAACGGGTATTTTGTTATATGGGCTACCTTGATACCTTTTTAAAGATGCCATGTTTCTTCACTGGGGTAGAACAGAGTTAGTCCCAGCTTAACTGTACTTCACACTGGGTTGCTCCTACTCTACATTTTTAGAACTGAAAGCAGAATGTGGCTGGAAATGTGCTTCTGCGTGGTTTTCTGGTTTGGCCCCTGAAATTTCTTTGCAGGTTCAGACTGATGTTGTCTTGGGTTTTGGGGAGGGGGCCGGGGAGTGCAGAGGGGTGCTAATCTATTTTGCAATTTGCTTTATCAATTTCATATCTGCTTTGAGCGGTCTGCCTTCAGTAAACACTGCAAGGAACTAAACACAGAGGATCATTTTTTTCCAATAGCACAAGCTATTTTTCTGATTTGGACATGTTCACGTACAACAGGACTTTGAACGGAAATATCTTTGACAAAATGTTTTAAACCTTTTTTAAAAGCTCTCTGAGCTTTGTTCTAGTTCAGGGTCAGACTGTTCTCTTTTATGGCAAGCTGTGTTATTATCGACTCAGAACATGTTGACATTTTCTTCAAATAGCTGTGTACAGAACTAGTCAGTTTGTCTAAAGAAAGTAATTCACTTGGTAAGATGGGAACTTTTCTGAGGCTGCAGCATACCTCCTTTTGTCCACCTGGTGGAGTTCAAAACATCTTTCCAGTACAAAGGAGAAACCACAGGCTGAACTCGCTCAGCAGTGCAAGAAATGACCCAGTGCTGCCTGGACTCACAGCTCAAGAGTCAGTGATTCTGATTTTGTTCTTGAGCCTGACTTGTTGGTTTTGTTTTTGGTTTTATTTTTTTTCCTCTAAAATCCATTTAGTTTTGCATGGTAGTATTTGCAGAAATACTGCCTTTCTTGGATGATTATTTTCAGGTAACATTGCTTTTAATTTGTGTTTTATATATATATGTGTTACAGAAGAACATGCGGTAGTGGTGCACCCCACTGTCAGGCACCACCTATGTCCGCTGACATGATGTTTGTCTGTAGGGGAGCAGGGAGCCTGCTATGGTTAATAAAAATTACAAGGGTAATTTTCCTACAATCGAGTAGCAGTGCAGCCTAGTGGCGTTTTAAGAACGAGTATTTTTGGCTTAAACTGGATTTGGTTTCGATGCTGAAAGAGCGCTGTGATATGGAAACAGGATTGATTGTATCATCCATCCTTCCTTCATGTTTTATGATTGTGGATTAGGACAGATGTTAGATATGCACAGCTTTGTTAAGTACGTGTATTTTTTAAATTAATTGATAATCACACAACATATTTTGGCACTTCTTTTTCACAAGGGTGAAATACTATTTTTCATGTCAGTATACACCCAGGTTTTTTCTTCTTCTTCCGTACTGTTTACATAAAAGTCTTATAAAAGCCCAACAGGTTAAACTAGCATTTTATAAACTTGTTTCCCCAAATATACGACGTAAAGCCAGGCCCTAACCTTGCATTTTACCAATGCAGTAGCACTGCTGCTCTAACGTGACATGTTAGAACACGAGAAGTGTCTCAGGAATCAAAACAGTGTTGGTTTGGGGTTTTTTTTAATCATGTTTTTGTTAGATTCTGGATGTATCGAGTCATACAAATTTTTCTTGGAATCCATTATGTCCCCTACAAGTAGATTGTACTGGATGGATGTTTAAATCCATCTCCATACATGTAGGTGGGTATAGGCCATGGAAAACAAGTTTAACCGTGACCTTGCCTTGCTTGGTGGTTAAGTGGAAAACTCAAGCTTCATGATGTCTTCAGCAAATGTGATTTTCAGATATTAATTGCTAACAAACGTTACAGATTCTAGACCAAAATAAGTTCACAGCTAAAAAGATTGTAGTCTACATGTTTTTTAGCAGTTTTATCTCTGAGTCTGCTGTTCTATAAACACAAAGGCATTTAATTATTCACGGTAGTTTCAATGTAAATCTATTCTGTCTCCAGTCAGTATATTTGAAGGATTTTCAATGGCATACCTTATTTTGTTGTTTTCTTTCATTTCTGGACAATATGCAGCTGTCATTGAATGAATCACAGTACGTGCCAACCGGTTGCTTCTTTCCTTCGTTATATTTTTGGTTTGCAACATTTAAGGTTCGGTTCAATGGGAAATGTATTAAGTGGATAGAAAATTGCTTTTTATATCATGATGTGGCCGTTTGCATCTGGAACAGAATTCTGGATGGAAATGGAAATGTTTCTGTTTGTGGCTCTGTCAGAAATGACAGCCTTTCCTTCCCTGCCAAATCGTGAGAGGGAGGATGCAACTGCGCACCAGAGAAAGGAGAGGCACAAGCTACCACAGCGAGCCCTGGGGAGAATTCGGCGCCGGGGCTGCAAGCCAGGGCTGGCTGAATTCAGTGGGGGGTTTGCTTTTGACCACACCAGGGTGAGTGAGGCTTGTGCTTTCCTATGGGTTGGCGAAATTTAGGCCTCTACAGTCTGGAGGGAAAAAAAAAAGTGAAAATCCTTGACCTTAACTTCCCTAAATTATATATATGTTAATGTGTTCATGGAATCCGATGCAGATAACTTTCCTGTCTGGATATGAGACAATCTCTGTTATTGAAGAAACTGATTCACTGAACCATTTAACTTTATGTGATTTTAGGTATCCTCATTGTTCTCTTGCTGCCTAACTCTCCCAGAAGAAAAAAAGAGAACTCCTACATCAATGGCTTTTTAAAGGATGCTGGGTAATAATTTGACCACTAACATGATTTTCGTTCCTCAAATTTCATAGTGGTGTCAGCAAGCTTGCTTCATTTATTGTCTGAAGCTGCCACAGTTTTACTAGTCCTTTTGAATGCGTACACAGCAAGCAAAACAGAACAGTAAAACAAAAGATTGAAGGGAGGGGGATAAAACTAAAGCTGAAACAAATCAGATGGGAGTAATGTGCCCTACAAAATAAAGACATTTCTTCTTTATCTGTGACCCATGAGCAGAGGAGATGCAGTGACTGTATTTTAAGTGTAAAGGAACCAGAAACGACATGGCCAAATAATAATACGGCGATGAGTACGTCAAGCAAGCACATTTCACCCAATTACCTAAGCAATTAAAAACATTTGCAAAAATGCAGTGTGTGTTTGTACATGGAGCATAACTGCTGTGCTCTGCCAAGAGGAACCACCACTGCTGTCTCTGAAACAAAGGGACTCGGTTTCTTCTTCTCTCTGTCCTTTAAGTAACCTTGAAAGTGCCATCTATTGACACTTTCCCTTTTTGAAGGAAGAACCAGTTTGCCTGTAGATCTGTGTTTGGCTCTGGGTAAACTTGGATCATGACTAGGGTATTCAGGGAAGCAAAGTCTAGTGTAATCCTCCCCAGCCTTGCTTTCTTGCCTCGTTTAGCAGCTCCAGACTGTGCTCTAGAGCTCCTTTGGTTAGAGGGAGACTTTGGCCTTTGTGAAATATTGGCAAGAGTTTTTTGGTAGCAGTTCATATGAGGTTGGTTGAACCCAGTGATGGCCATGACAGAAAACTTATATATGAACTCATATACAAACCCTCTCTCTATATATAAAAATTATAGATGTATAACACATCTCTCTCTCTCTCTCTCTTAGTGCAGTATTCAGCAGCAGTGTTACTAATACTCTCTAGTAGCCTAGTAGGGAAAGCATTGCAGCCACCATTTTAGAATACCAGATTGGGTTGTGGTTATCATTTTAAGGACAGTTGTTAAACTTTTTTCTCTTGGTTCCTGCCTACGCTCAAGTAACTGAGGAGCTAAAACATATATTTATCACAGCGCAATTAAACCTCCAGCATGAGGAGCCGTGGCAGAGATCCTGATGGGTAAAGTGATTTTCACTAGTCTTTTGTTCAAAAAAATCTCATCGCATTTTGTGATGTTGAACCAGAAAGAGATGAGAACAAGATTTACTCGGGACTTCACTGAGATTCCAGGAGTATCTGGTTCAAATGGGCGGCACGCTGTCAGTGGCTTGTGAAACCTCTCACTCTCTTTTGCTTTGTGCCTTCTAAATATATTTATTGAAATTAGCACTATTTTTTTCTGTATCACCATAGTTGATACACCTTTCATTTAAATTCATAATTCTGTCTTCATTTTTCTAAATCTTTATTTATTTGAATGTGCTGTTACTAACAATTCAGTTCCTGGTATTTTTTGGTATATGGTCTACCATTCTTCAGCTAAATTTTTTTCCACTCTCGTAATTGGTAAATACTTAATTAACCAGCACATCCCATAATGACTTATAATGGGCCTGAGGATTTATTCCTCAGTTCTGTATTTTAAGTTAAAACTCAGGAGTCAGCTTGAAGGCAGAAAATCTGTCACAATGTTAAGCTATCCACTTACATAGATTCTGCATTGAATTGACCCTCAGTGTTGAATTTGTTTGATTGTAATAATTCTTATTTGGTTTTTACACATGAATGTCTTCTCTCTCCTACATGATTTTCTTTCCATTGTGGAATTTTATGCATTTTTCAGACTATATTTTTAAAGCACTTCACATTTGTATTTAAATGTTGGGGGTTTTTGCTTCTTTTGATTCATTGTTTATGCATTACATATGAAAATAATATTTTCATTTGGTTATCATGTGGGTTTTTTTCTTTTTAACAGTTTTACACACTTTATAGTCAAAATAAAAGTTTGCTGGTGAAACTACAGTTTGTCATTACCAGTAACATTTTATTTGTTGCGTTATGTAAGGAGTACTTTTGAGGACTGTGCCCTAAATTAGTAAAAACTGATCTAATTCTAAAACTTTAGAGGAGAGCTGTATGTGTGTGACCAAGCTAATCACCTCGTATGCAGTTCTCTGCGTTTGCTTCTCAAGAATGAAATTCTGATGATTTCACATCATGTTAACGTAGGAGATGTCGCTTGTGAGAGAGTTTGGCCGAACTGGAGGTGCAGGAAAACCCTTCTGTCTGAAGCTTTGCCCAGAGCCTCTGGGAAGGGTGGCACCTTTCTTTATGCCTGTTTTCTTCCTCCATGTTTTCCCTGAAATCTCACCCAGCGCTGCTTCTGTGGAAGCACTTGTAAAGATTCAACCTCTCTTATATTTTATCATTTTAAAATACTGGGTTGTGGAAGGGACATAAAGAGATTCTCAAAATTAACCCCCATTTAATTCGTTCTCGAAAGCCTCTAACAAACAAATGCGCAAATATATGTTCTTTTAGTAGGCAGCTTTATCAGACATCTTTCTCCCAAGCGGTCTCTTTAGGCATTCTCTGTCAAGACATGAGGTGCCAGAGAAGCGGCTCTTAAATGCAGCTAGAGCAGCAGGTTTGGTTTGGGGAAAGCTTATCTGGTTTTTTTTTCAGTCATTTCTTTTAAGAGTATATGTTATACCAGTAGCTGTCCCTTTAGTGTTGTCTTATACCTTACATGGTAAATGCATAGCTCTATCGATCATGTGGTTTCTTTATATTCTCACATGGCATACAAGTCAACTGTTTTGAACATAGACAATTAAGGGCTAGGAAAAAAAATCAATGCTTAAAGCAAGTGTGCACTTTCTGTTTCTATTTGAAAATTTGGATGACTAATAGCGAAATGAGAGAAAACATCATAGGATGGTTTCACTGTTGTCTTTGAGAGAGAATACACTTCAGAGAAGATAAAGTCAAAACCACAAATATTTTAATTTATACAGAGAGAAACAAAATATCCACATTGCATATTTTCTTCTAAAAATTGAGTTTATCTAAAAAAGGCAACTTGAGATGTCTAATGGCTGTCTTCTAGCTGTTCTGTTTATTGGTATTGAATGTAACCATACATACAAAAACATTTAGGGGGTTAAAACATTATTTGTTCTTTTTTTTTTGTACAGCCACAGTTGTTACTTCAAAATCTGTAATCTCTACTATAAAACTTTTATATTTCTGGGACTTAAAATTCCCTTGACAGTGGCTACTAGCTTTTTAATTTCATATAGAAGGAGACAAGCTGGAATAGGCTTCATAGCAAATTATGAATGCAACACAAATTGAAGTGGAAAATTAAGAGGTTATTCCACATGGAGAACCCAGTGATCATACCTTTACAGATATTTAGAGCATAAAAGGTGTCAGGGGCGGCACGTTTTCCTAGGAACAGTCACCAACTGTGTTTCTGTGATTGAATTGAAGAGCTGAGGGTGGCTTAGCATATCCTGTGCAGCATATACACACAATGAAATGACTGTGCATGAAGTTATGTAGTTTAGTTTGCTCAAGAGCATGCTGAAATTTATTTTATAGGCATAAAAGAAATAGCTACAACTGAAGTAAACAAACTGTTCCTTTTTTATTTGATGGCTGAAGACATGTTATTTCACTGTACATCATTTGTAGGAATTAAGTAGGGGAGGAAGAGAAATCACAGAAACTCTTTATTAAAAAAAAACCCAAACTAAAAATAATAGACAAGTGCCTTTTTTCCCCCACAAAAGGAGAAAGAGCCAGAAGGCAGCACCTGTGTATTTCTGTAAGCACCATTGTTCCAGCTTGTGTTGCTAAATACACCTTCAGAAAGAATGTACAACCACTGTGATAAAAATGCTGTACTGAAACCTTGGCTGAAAGGTTTCTCTTTGTTTGTATTTCTCCTTCAGTCCTTATTTTTTCCTCAGCTGTCTGTGCAATTGATGCCAGCACTTTGTGGCACTTGCAAGGCCCGTTCATGGCCCTTTCATGTTCTTACCAGCTCTCTGTCCAGCCTCCATTCTGCAAGACGAGGGCTCACAGTACCCAGGAGGGCCGGGAGGTCCAGGAGGACCAGGAACCCCAGGCTGACCGGCCACACCAGGGGGACCTCGTTCACCGTCACGGCCTTCCCTGCCATAGCTGGGTTTTCCTGGTTCACCTGGAAAAGTGGATGCAGGTCTAAATGGCAGCAGATGACTTGCTTAGTATACATGTAGCTTTGCCAAACATCCTGTTCTTAAAAGCTGTATGAAGATGGCTTTTTATTGCTCTCTGTGGATTCCCCAGAGAGGTGCCTACTTCAAGAGCCAGTTTTCTTCTGATAGACAACCAGGCTGTGTTTACATACCTACAGCAAGGAAATTTCAGGCCCAACACACTCAGTTATACTGGAGCAGATCTGCTGCTCCAAAAAGCTGTGCCACATTGCTGATTGCAGCGCTGCAGACAACCCTGTTCGTGATGCATACGAAGGTGTAGATGCTAGTCACTATTTCAGAAAGAGACATAGCAAGAATTTATTTTTATTCTCCACTCAGATGTGTTGGAAAAATAGATGCATAACATGGAACTGCTGAGCACTAAAGCATCTGTTTACTTCTAAATCTTAAGTGAAGGGACAAAATACAATGATTTTAGTAAGCCTCTTCCAATGATAAATTTTTAAAGAAGGTAAGTCCGAGTTTCACAGATGTCCAAAGTATTGGCATATATTCAACTGATATTTTTTTTCTCCTTTTTACAAAGAGAACAAGTTTTGGTAGTTTCTGCCTACACTCACAGAATCCTGTTGTAAAGAGACACTGATGGAAACAAACAAACAAACAAGTTTGCTTTCATTCACTGGCCACTAGAGGCCAGCTGTGCTGCATTTATCAGCAAGACTCTGTCCTGGACCCCTATTACATGACGCTGCATTTAGTTACCACAAAAATAAAGGAGAATTGTACTTTGAATGCCCTAAATTATGAATGGAGATTTTGAAGACTGCTGCGGCTGCCAGTGAGATAATCTGGGGGTTTTGACCTTTTTTGTTTGTTTTGTGGTTTATACATTTACATAAAAAAAGAGACAATTTTATATCTCTATCTTGTGTGTGTGTGATTTCCTCTTTTTTTTTTTTTTATGTTTTGTATACATTTTTCCTAATCTTTCTACACTGAGATAAATGGGGTGGTAGCTCTTTAGTAAAAGAGCTTTTAATTCTGATTTGTGACTGTATTATTACCTATGAAGTAAAAATTATGAAGTACTGTTATTTGGAAGTTTATTGCTCAATGAACATCTTTTGTCTTTTCAAGGCAGCTTGAGGTATGAGTTCTGAATAAATTTTTACTACATCTGTTCTTTATCTTCACCCTTTTATATTTACCTGGAAGACCTCTTGGTCCAGGGTAACCTTTCAGTCCTCTGCCTGGAAATCCTCTTTCTCCTCTTTCTCCTGGTTCACCTAAAGCAAATTCATGAAACATTAGTTACAGCCTGCTTGGAGTATTACTTTCAGTAAGTAAGTTCCCTCTCAGAGGTGAACAGCTAATAAGAAGAGAATTTATGTGTCTGTATATATTCTTAGCATCATTGAACGATGTCCTGACATAAGTCCCTCTAAGAGGTTTGGGATTTGTTTGGGGTTTTTTTCCCCCCATTGCAGTTATACTCAGAAGTAGACATGTTGGAGGGAAAAAAAACCCACCTGGGGCTGAACAGTAAGTACCACATTAAACATGCCATACCCTATATAACAGAAATAAACGAAACTCACAGAACTACACAGGCTACTTTGGAATACAGACTGAGGGTACTGGCAACTGACTTTTGCAAGAGCACATGAAGTCTGCTGATAGGTAAAAATTCTCAAGTGCTGGTCCTTGAGACAGCTAGTGCAGAGAAGAAAAGAGGAGCTGGCTCACACACGCTACAGTATTCTGTTGACATCTACAGAAGACATTCATAAAAGTAAAACAAAGGACTTTGTTCTCATATACTGGTATTATGGAGACTTTTCTTTGGTGGGTGCCCAGCTTTTCTTCAAACTTGGATGTTGCTCCAAACAAGTAGCATCTTAGTAAGAGGAAGCTTTTTCTTTTGTGGTAGTCGTAAAGTTCAAATTCTGTTCACTGTATATATTCCATAAAAGTACATATATCTACCACTTGTGAATACCCTACGTAAACTCTTGATTTTTTTCTGCAAGTCAAAAGTTGCAAGTATATGCCTAATAATGTTTGAGTGAACTTTATTTTATACTTCCATACTTTCTTGTACTGCAGGGAGGAGAGTTGGAATAGACTGTTAAGTGCCCTAAAAATGGCAGAGCCAGAAAACAAGAAGCGATGTAAAGGAACACAGGAGTCAGTACAAAAGCCCAAGTTTCACTAGAAGATGCACACAGGGTGCTAGAGGAGGAATCTTATCTCTACGCTTCAGACTGCCTAGTCAACATGGCGATTCAGCCTGTCTTTGTAAATGCAGCTATCAGGAGCACCGATGTCAGGTTACCCACGTACTTCTACTTCCAGCTACTGAACATTTTGGAATAGTGTTTACTGCCGGTTGCCCCAAACTTCTCCAGCTTCTTATTTCTGATTCTGCTCTCCTTCACTACCCCAGATTACTCATTAAAGTCACTGTAACACCTTCCTTGAGCCAGCTTTTTTTGACTCTGCTGTTGTTGATGCTGTTAAAAATCACTGTACCTTTATACCTTCTGCTCTATCTCATGGTAACACACTCTCATGTTTCTCCTCTTTATTATGTCCTTCTAAACTATTCTCAACATCCTTGTGCTGGTTTTGGCTGGGATAGAGTAAATTTTCTTCACAGTAGCTAGTATGGGGCTATGTTTTGGATTTGTGCTGAAAACACTGTTGGTGATATAGAGATGTTTTTGTTATTGCTGAGCAGTGCTTACACAGAGTCAGGGCGTTCTCTGCTTCTCACCCCACCCCACCAGTGAGTAGGCTGGGGGTGCACAAGAAGTTGGGAGGGGACGCAGCTGGGACAGCTGACCCCAACTGACCAAAGGGATATTCCATACCATATGGCATCATGCTCAGCATATAAAGCTGGGGAAGAAGGGGCGAGGCGGGGGGTGCTCAGCATTATGGCACTTGTCTTCCCAAGTAACCGTTACACATGCTGGAGCCCCACTTTCCTGGAGATGACTGAACACCTGCCTGCCCATGGCAAGGGGTGAATGAATTCCTTGTTTTGCTTTGCGTGTGCAGCTTTTGCTTTACCTATTAAACTGTCTTTATCTCAACCCATGAGTTTTCTCATTTTTACTCTTCCAATTCTCTCCCCCATCCCATCAGGGGAGAGTGGGTGAGCGGCTACATGGGACTGACTTAGTTGCCAGCTGGGATTAAACCACAAAAATGCTCCTCCTTTTCCCTTTTATCACATCCTAGGTACCCTTTTCCTCTCACTCCCATCTCAAACAACTCCCCAAATGGATGGGGAAAGTCCATTCAGCTCTGTGACCTCTGTGGAAATCTGATAACTGCCAGAAACTCAGAGTGAAGCACTGAGATTTTTGTTCAGGGTGCCTGCCATGTACCATCAAGATAACTCTGGCACATGAGAGCACTCGCCACTTCTTTTGTATCTGTAATTGTATTTCAAGATTTACTATAACGTAACTTGGAATTTGATGACAATTATGATAGGAAACAAAGAATTTTGCTTGTTTGATTTTTCTTTTATGCTCAGTAGATTTATTTTTTTATATTAACACAGTGCAGCCTGCTGTGTGCTGAATCAAATTCAGCATATCAGATCACATTGGTATCTCCATTTTTTTGATGCTTCTGTGAATACAGATGACATTACCTTAAATAAAAACCAGTAACAGAGCTCCAGCAACACTGTTGTTAAGGTTTGCTTTGTTTGTATTCTATTCCTTCTCTCAAAGGTTTTCCCAATTTTACTTTCAAACAAAACTTGAGACAAAAGTAAAAGCTCTAATCCAGCAACAGATCAGCTTTGTGCAGAAATACAATTTTTAAATAAAGCCTTCCTTCAGGAAAACAAATCGAAACCACTGCTGAATAGAAACTAATACATACACAGTGGTCATAAGACTTTGCAGAAAATTCTACTATATAATCCTTCAGAGGAGTATAAACCCTCTCAGTCAGGAACAAAGGAGATTATCTTAGAGCAAAGTTTTTTTGTAAAGTGTAAGGTAAGTCAATTTTATTATGGATTTTTTCTTGCCAAAGAATCAATAGATTGTGGTACGTGGTGCAATGATTTTAAATGGCTTAAGTATTATATCCAAATAAAGAGGCAGATTGTTATCAGGCACTTGTAATGTGAGAAACTGGATAGACTTGAAAAGGTAGGCTAGAGATTAACGAATGCATCTGATGGTTACATTAACTTTTGGGACGACAAGACTTGCAGAAGTGAGGTTCACAACCAGACTGAGTGGAGGAAAGAGAACCGCTGCTGGAACTTCTCGGCATATGAAAAACACAAACCTTAAAAGTTCACAAGAGGGAAAATTAATATTAGGAAACTGATTCTTCTGCTTACTACTAGTTCAAGGCCAATGCCTATCCTTTCTCATATTGTACAAGTGATTTGAAGACAAAAAACAAATCTATAAACAAGTCTGTCTGAGGCCAGGCCCATGTCCCCTTTAATCACTGGGGCAACTGAGGCAACAGTTACAGCTTAGGTTCCTAATTCAGGATCTTTTTCACATGTGTACTATGTATATCTACAATGAAAGAAAAATAAATAAAACAGCCACAAAAAAACTGTAGCAGTCAACAACTGAAAGCTAGTTACAGAATTTCTTACCTTTGGGACCTTTACGACCTATCTCACCAGGGGGACCTTTAAGGCCAGGCAAGCCACGAGGTCCAAGCTGTCCTGGGAAGCCATTTTCACCAGCAGGCCCTGGAGCACCTGGTGGCCCCGGTCGGCCAGGGAGTCCTGGAGCACCAAATTCTGGCCTCCTAAGACTGGCTGCCAGCTGAGCTAGTTGTTCTGCAATGAACAGGACAGAATTAAGCAGTAAGTAGATCCGAATGGAGAGATTCTCGTGTTCACTGAAGAAGAATATGTATTCTCTGCTACAGAGATTACAACAGATTACAGTACAGCACCTTCCTTCTGTACAATACTATTTACAAAGTTTGTTACATATATTAATACTAGAGGCAAACTGCATAGGCATACTGTGAAGCTGGTAACTCTGAAGCCTACACCTTAAACATTTAATTTTTGCGAGCTGAAATGACTTAAATGTATATGGTTTATTTAGAAATGTCCTTATAATTGTCTACGTCATTTAAATTTCAACCATATACTAAAAAAACTTACTCATGCAATTGCTGCCTCTTAAAAGAGCAAATAGCTCTTTTGGTTACTACTTGTTAATGCTTATTAAAATACATCTTTGCAAGATGGAAAAACTGAAAAGCATGAGGGCAGTCATCTACATTGGCCTGCAAAGTAAGTGCAGGACTTCCTTTTCTGAGGAAAGAAACCCTCAAATTTCTGCTCGTGAGCTCAAGTTTGATAAATAATTGAACATTTTATGTTGATCTTTTCTTAAGGTAAATCAGCAGAACCTTTTCTCTTCATTAGGCATAGGATCAGCTTGCCATTCCTTGGAATGATCTAAACTAGATATTCCCTTTTCCTCATCCCTGTTTCAGGCCGCTGCTGTAACAGCATGACAGCAGTCCTCTCTTCCCTTAATGTTTCTATTCTAGATTTCAAAACCATCTTCCAAGCATGCCTTAGAAATAACTTTATCTGCATACAGCCACACACAGCTCAGTATGACATTTGCTATATAGTCTGCGTGACTTGCCAAGACTAGTTATTTTGCCTCTGCAGCCAAGAAAAATTAAGAAGATGGGGGTGAGGGGGTGTAAGGGATCTGAGATCAAACGGGAACTATGGCTAGCAGATACATGAGGAAGACAGGAGAGTAATCTGTGGGCAAAGCCTACTCAGGAGCTGAACTTCAGTTAAGGTTGTCTTTAAGCTGACAAGTTTCCAGGGATTACTTTTTTTTTTTTTTTAAGCATGACAGTATTGACAATTATAGGGGGTCTCAAGAGGTGTGCAATGAAGACAGCCTAGATTTTTCTCATACCCTTTTCTTCACTGCTAATTCTGATGGTTATGAATAAATTCAAGCACCATATCTAATTTCATATCACATCTAATCCTCTTCAATATTACTGTGTCTTTCAAGAGACCACTTTAAAAGGCCTTTTTATCTTATTTGTAGAAAGTTTTTTAAAAAGTAGCCTGTTGGGCAGTATCAAGAACGGTGATGACTACTGAGAATTTTTAGATTAAATCATGAGCAGCAATTTCATTCTGGTAAATTCTTAACATTACAAAGGCATAATATCCCAAAGGGCATCTTCAATAGCAAATACCAAAAATCTCTTTTGTGCTCACAGGGCAGCATAAATTTTTAAACTCAGTAAATCCCATGCACCCAACTGTATTAGAAAAGCTCCAAATTTCTGTGTATGTCAGGAAGAACTAAGCAAATATAATTAGGGTTTTGAAGATCTGCCTGTTGCTTTCGTGTTTGGCTATCTACGGAAAGCCTCTCTCTGCACTCCTCTTTTTTTTAGCCAATTTTGCACATAGTTTGTTTGCTGTAATCTGACAGTGTATGAGTACAAATGGCAAAACAAGCTTTCAGGAAAGCTCTGTACTTTTAGATAAGTAAGTGTAGCAAGTGATTTCTACACAATATAGGCGTTTCATAAAAACACTCCAGTTTTTCACTGGAGTTTCATAAACTAGTTTCATAAAGTAGTTTCATAAAAAACTATCTCCTGGTTACTATAGTAATAGTGTGGAATAAACAGGTCCAAATAGGCTGCAAAATATATATAAAATAAGGGACGACTTTCTCATATTCTCTCATATTGTGTCCACATTCACATGTGGGAATATTTTCTGCCATGTCACCTGCTGAGGCTACAATATTTGTTCTGGATAAGAGTGGGAAAATCTTGATTGCCTCCACAGCAGTATTTATCCTGATTTAAACTCACACGAAACATCAAACACTTTTAGCGTATTTACCTTGCATGACTCTCATGCAAACCTGCTTAATGTGCTGATCAGTTGGTTCTTTTCCCTAGGATTAAAAAAAAAAATAATAGTTTTAAAAAAAGCAGTTGATACCACAGTAAGTTTTATAAGTATGCCTGATGCAAAAAATGCTGGCGGGTCAATAAAAGATGTTCCAGTTCCAGTATCAATAGTTGTAAGTGCAACTATTCCAGCTGAGGTCAAACCCTAAGATTTTTCCAGTGCACAAATGTATATGTTGTGAGGTACAGTGTATTTCAAACTCTACTGGGGCACTTGTGTTCTGCATACATATGTAGCTCCTGACGCAAGAAAAGGAGTAGTTTGAGTGACAGATAAGCATTCAAAAGATACCAATCACATTAAAACAGTACTTACAGCTGGACCTTGGCTGCCAGGCAGACCTGGGGCACCCTGTTCACCCTGCAAGCCTCGTGGTCCAGGTGAGCCTCGTGGTCCTTCCATGCCAGGCAGTCCCCGACTTCCCTCAGGCCCACGGGAGCCAGGATCTCCAGGATTACCAACCTGACAATGAAAGAGAAGATTTTCAACAAACTGCTGTACTAGACTTAGACTCATTCTGACTTATCAAAATGATAACAGAAGATATTCGCAAATGCAATGCAATGAACCTTGGGTTGTAGAGTTCTTGAGCAGCTTCTCTTTAAATAAGTGACTGGAGTCAATCGTTGTGTGATTTATAAATTTAAAAAGAGGTCTGTATTCCTCCCTTAAAAGGACAGAAGTGGAAAAATAAGATATTCTGTCAAAAGAGGCAAGTGGGCATCCATAGTGACATGCACAAGACATTGGGGGTTTTTTGGCAAAGAATAGAACTTCTGTACTTGGTTTCTACTTCTGCCCTCGTGCATATCACGTGCAACTTTTCTAGACATTAAGTGCTCCTTAAGTTACAAAAATTCAAGCTCCTTTCTTGTTCCAAATGCCTTGCATGCCTTTTCATAGAGAGTATGCCACTAGGTGCCTCCAAGTCACTTTCAATACAAGTTATTGTACTACTATTAATCAATAGTAGTACTAATAAAGAAAACAAATAAACAAACCAAGCCCGGGGGGGGAATCAACAAAACCCAACCCCCAAACCAAAGCAAACAGAAAAAAAATCCTACACACCTAATGGTTTCCCAGATCTACTGGGGGAAAAAAAACCCCAAAACCTGCTGAAAGAGGTGCTCGAAAACATGGCAAATTAACTGTGATATCGGTTAAATCCACAAGATGGAGCCATTTCAGTTCCAGCTATGCTTGCATCTCGGACAGTTAATTGCTGTCCCTGTCGGAAGAAAACCCAAGGAACACGCTTCAGCAGATATATTAAGACAGCAAAATTCCCTTTGTGGACTATACAACCAGGAAGCCGTCATGTCTTTCTTCCCCAGTCTTGGTGAGTTATCAGGTTCCCTGATGGATTACTCATCCCTGTGTATGCACCCACTAGGATGACAAGCACTCTAGTGTCCTGTCAAGAGAAGTGGATTTTAAAAATCTATGGGAATAAAACTTTGGATGTCTCTTCTACTCTACCTCTTCCTCATGTCCTTCTTGTAAGATATTGATCAGTAGTAAACACTCTCTAGCTTGCATTTGCTCAGCCCCAAAGTCACACAGGCTACCAAGAACACAAGCATAGCTCTTTTTGTTACATTGAACCTCAGTTCCCGGTAGGCAGAACTGTTGATACGTTAGTATCATAGCCCAAACTGTCAGTTGCTGTAACAATCCCACTCTTCAGTGATCTTGAAATAAAAGAATGTGTTCAGCTCTCAAATTCTTTTTCTTATGTGACATACAAGCTTCTGCTCACTTCCGACATCAAAGCTATCATTTTATTTCTAAAAAAAACCAAAAAAAAACAAAAAAAAAACCCCAACAAAAAAAAAACCCACAGAAATACTTCTGCTTCCACAGATATCACAGTCTTACTGCCGGCTTTTTCCCAGTGTAAAGATTGCAGGCTGCACACAGCCACTGCACTGAGCCTCCTTTCTATACAACACCTACTGTACAAAGAGCGCATTCATTTACTTAAAAAAAAAACTAGTTGGCCAGAAAACAGTTCTTGAATAATGCTTCTCTTTTATGGACCTTAGAATTCAGCATGCAAATTCCTTTCCAAAGCTAATTCATTTTAATATTAACTATATTCAAAATTTAAATAGAAGAAATACTGTTGGAACTTATTCAATTTAACTCTGATAAAAAGCTCAGTTCATTGTTTGTTTTTTCTTTCTTAATTAAGAAAACCATCTATCATCTGATCTACTAGATCTCTATATTGCTGTAACGGTGTTCTTCATTATACTTACAGCTCCCTTTGCTCCTGGTAATCCCATATCACCCTAAGCAAAAATAAGACAAACTATATTAGAAGAGAGTATCCATTATCACAGACATTACAAATGCAGTAAACTTGATATGATTTTTTTCACTATAAAAAAGTAGCTCACATATTTAGTTGATTTATGCAAAACTGCACCTCAAATTAATTACAATTCATTTGGAAATAAAACTTATATTTCAGATTTTTTTTAAATTCCTTTCTCAAAAGCATTTCTGTAACGTACAAATAAGAAAGCGTGTTTATTATAAATGGTTTGTATTGCTTATCTTAGAATTAGACACATGGCTCTAACCTCTCAAACCACAGTTAGAGCACAGGACGATCTTAGCAGATTGCTTGGAAACCTTTAGAGGAAGCATTATTTAATTGTGATTTTCTAGTTTGACAGAATTACAGATATTGTACAGTGTTGTGTTGTGTTAGCCCTGACAAAACTGCAACAGAAACCAGGCAGATGTCTACGCAACATACCATGAAGCCACCAAAGCCCTAGAAGTTCCTGTTCCCAGCAACCTGGCTCCTGGCTTGAACAACCCCATCACAACATGCTGCACTCCTGCAGTATATACCCCTTCCTTCAGCAATATCACAGTGCCACAGCCTCTTCCCAGACCATTCTCCCTCTCCCTAACAGCCAGTTACTCCATATTATTTCCAAAGATAAAGGCAATACAAAATATTTCCATTAAGTCTCAGTTATTAAGGGTATTTATTATCCGTGCTCCTGTTTCACCCGAATTAAACTACCTCTCCATCCTCACTGCCTCAAACACCAGGAATTTTTGTGTGCGTGTATGTGTGTGTGCATATATAGATATATATTTTTATATAAACACTTGGTGTATATCTATACATGTATCTCTATATATATGTATACTCACACACACCCCCTTCAAGGCAGTCTATACTGTATTATACACCTAACAGAATATGTGTATTTCAGAGTGCTTTCAAAACAGCAGGAGGCTAATAGAAGTTCTGTGCTCTTCAATGTCCAGTTAGTATAAAACTGAAATGTGACTTTCAACGACCAAACTATATGCTTGAAGCACCCCAACAATACTTTGAAGTTTTAATTTACAACAACAAAAATATTAGATCAGGTGAAGAGAATATAAAGCCTTACTAAGTCACCCTTTTCTCCTCCATCTCCTTCTGCTCCAGGTGCACCCTATATAAAAAAAACACACCATCAGCCTTCAGATTTAGTCAATGTAATGTAATGTACTGTACTGCAGCATTTGGTAGTGTGACTTGAAAGTACCATGTTCTGTAACATAACTTACTTGTTCACCCTTAGGTCCTGGTTCACCCACAGAACCCTAAAAGTTTAAAGATTTAAAAAAAAAAAAAAAAATCAGAGTTTGAAACTGCAGGTTCAAAAACATACTAAATTATCTTCAATATCTTCAATCCTCCCTACCATTTAGCATTAATGCAAGAGACCTTTAAAGCTGCAAATTTTTAAGAATGACAATGAAAGCACTTAAATCTTACTGTATAATTAAGGTGACAGACTGAAGGCAAGTAATAGCATAGAACTTATAATCCACTGCAGCACTGGATTGTAGAGATTCTGACTGTCAAACAGTAAATCTTGCCTTTAAAAGATGCTCTTGCAGCAGCTACAACTCTGCTCTGCAAATTGGTTAGAAGTTATAAGTAAAAAATCCACTAAGTGTATCACCTTTCTAGCACTATTAAGTATGCTGTATTGCTATAGGCCATACCAGTCCTGCTACCATGGGATAAGCACACCGAGACATCCACAGGTTCAATCACAATCTTGTCTTGCTTGCTGTTTATTTTTAGTAGAACTGTCTCTAGAGTTTTGATCATTACAGTCAAAGTTGAATGGTTTGTATCTTAAAGTTGATTTTTTTTTTTAAAGGAATATGCTATTAAGTTTCATCTTAGAATCCTGTAACCAAATGTACCTGTGTGGACAGGCAGGAACCAAAAAGGCATAAATTAATGACCTCATTCATTTCAGACATACATAATTTGTTTCTATAGTAAAAGTATTTAATTTGTAAACAGTGTATTATTTAAGAAAATCTTACTATTTGTGTTCTGTCAGAAAACCAATCACACCATCCTTAAATGTTCTTTGCAGCCTGTGCACATTCAAATATATATATTCCACAAGAACTATAACTGTGCATAAAAATTTTTTCTAAAACAGAGATAGAGAATTTATTTCAGAGATCCATTTAATTCACATAAGATACAGGCACACAAACCAGTGTAACATCTACAGTTTAATGAATTCTGATTTGTTCTCATATTCCTGAGTATGAAACGTCAATACTAACTTATCCACAAAGCTAAGCAGTGGAAATCACAGACCTATTTATCATTCCAACTTTGTCAAACAACACAAACTATTTTGTCTGAAGTGTTTTCAAAATAGTGCCTACTAAGGTTTTCCAATTACTCACAAAAAAAGACATTGATTTCAAACCTAACATCATGTTGGGTGTTCTTTTTCTCCACTTACTCTTCTTTAGAGCAACAAAACTGCCAATAGATAAGGTTGAGATGGGAGAATCTTTTGCTTTTGTGAAACTTGGCCTGTAATATTTGTATTAGCAAAAGAGAAAAACACAGCTGAAACTATCTGAATCTATTCTACATTGACTCCCAAAATTTCAGTGGAGACAATCGGGTAAGATGTCAAAATACAAAAATATCCACTTTTTTGACATACTGCTTATCTATTTGTAAAAATCCCTCTCAAAATATGCCCGGGAATTGTTTGCAAAACTGCCAGTCAGCATCAGCCAAAACTGTACCAGGGGCTACACTAACTATTTAACAGTATAAAGGAACATGTTCCAGTACTAAGATCTGGGTCTTGTCCTGGTGTGTTTAATTTACTAAAACAGATAGAATCAGAGTGTCTGAAACAAATTCAAATTATGTGAATCAGAAACAGCAGAAGTGGTGAATGCTGGGGTTTGGCCATTATCCGTAACATATCTGCGTAACCACTGTGTAAGATTCACTGAAGCGGGATCCATTGTTGTAACTTTGTTTTGTATTGCTATCTCTGCTATAATATGCCAGGTGTGTGATGGATGCACTCAACTCCTTGACCAAATTAGCGGCAGTCTGGTTCAAGCTCCAAAGGAAGTAAAGACCTAGGTTGTAATCAGGCCAAGAACTCCCCTACTTCCAACCTGTTCACTGAAAACCCACACAGGAACAGGGTGACATGGTGAACATTGATGCATATGGGCCTGGAAACTGGAACACCAGCTAGGCAATTAGAACATGAATAGCAGGTGGTTCTTCCAAGACTCATTTGTCAAGGAACAAAGTTAGTTGTGGGTACAAGGAGTATCATGCCTACTCCATCACACATCATTTGACTACAAGCCAACCACTTTATTCCATAAATAAAACAGCCTCAGTGAGCCTTTTTCGAGCTCTCCCTGCTAAGCAGTTAGCTGCACGGTGATGATCTCCCCTTAACATGGGACACCTCTCAAGGTTCTTCCTCGGGGCTGAGAGACCCCTTACCAACTGCAGATCTTTGATAAGTGACCAATATCCCTCATAACCTTGCATTATAGTGCACTAAGATTTTGTATTGGTAACTCTGATTTTGTGTTGGTAACTCTGAATCATTATTATATACTCTGCAGTAAGTAACAGAAAGAACCTCGCCATTGCACTTTGTTGAGTCCTACTTTTACATCTTACTTCAATAAAACCACTTTAGCTGATATCTTTGGTGGTGTTTCATTAAGCGGTCAAAATTGCCTGCTTGTGACAAGGTGCCAGCAGATAGTACCCACTATCTAAAATCTTTGGGACCAAGAATGACTACTGAAATATGGGGGTTTTGTAAATTCCTGGCTGCTATTTACATCAACTCTTATCATGCACATATGGGCTTCACAACAGAACTTCACAGAATCCCTGTGTACAAAACCATGAAGTTTTGAAATCAGGAAGGGAAGAATGGTTAATTCAGTCTAAAACTTACTGTTAGCAGTGGTTGACCCAAAGACTACAGAGGTAGTAGTCTTTGTAGTTAACAGACTACAGAGGTACCTGCTTACAAACTCTGACAATGATGTTTGGCTCTGTATAAGACAGATGCAGTTGGAAGTTGAACAGGGTTGAACAGGGTTGAACAGGGTAGAGAAAAGATAGAGTGGCACAATGCTCCAGGCTTGTGACTTGGAATACCTACTGCAGATCAGTGCTACTGGCAAGGCTCTAGCCATGTTAAGCCTGCCCCAGAAAATTCACTCCATGCAACTGAAGAAAAAATAAATAAATCAAGGATACAAGTGGACACTTGTCTCAAAACAGGAAAGCTAAAAATCAGTCACAGGATGAGATAATTGCTAGCATAGCTTTTTGGACTTTAAGGTACTTGCACAGGACATTAAACTGACCCTAGGATTTTAAAAAAGCTCCAGGTATGAGATACTGTCATCTGCCAGTTAGATAAACAGAAACCTCCTGGCTGTATCTTGGATCTCATTGAGTCTGTTTAGAGCATCTACGTTCTGCTCTTAGCCTAGAGGTCTAGACCCTTTATACAGTAAATGAGGAAAATCGGGCACCTTTGGAGGGAGACTGTCAGCACTGCAACAAACACTAGTTATTTTCCTTCCAGATTTGCTTCCTCAGGTACCTTCAATCTCCCTCCAGAGAAGTCTAAAGTATGAATCATTACCAATCTAATAAAAAGAGACTGCTTACATTACAGACTGTCAATACTTACATTTGACTAGAAACATACATTCCTGATCTCAGCATTCAAACAAAAAAACAACACCCAAACACATGAAAAAATACCTCAACAACAAAGACTGTATTAGAAATTTGCTTAGAAACCTGAGCAGCTTTTAAAAACTGCCAAAAAAACCTGCAAGCCCTATCTAGCCACCCTACAATATACACGGGGAGCATACCAGAGGCAGGATTCCTCTGTTCAGCTGAAGACATCTACAGCAGTGCTACCTGTATCTGAGTAACAGTCCTATACTTCCTTGATTGTCAGTGGATAGTAAGAGGCACTTCACAAGTGCAATTCATTTAATACTGAAGTAGATGCCTCAAGTGAGAAGGATGAAACACAGTGTAGAACTGACTATTTCTATAACAAAGATGTCTGAAGTTTGGTGAGTTAATTCCATCCTCTGTAGCCTCCTATAAGTAAGAGAAGATAAAGAACATTTTTGGTTTTATATACTGTCTTCACTGACATTTATGCAGCAAAGCAAGATGTCTTCTGCAGGTATGTGAGGTCCCCAGGGCCCAGTTCTTCCCTCCTAACAAAATACTAGAAGAGGTACTTATATCCTGCAATTGTGTGTGTATGCATAGGTGCCTGCATTAGCCCGTGCATTTCCATAGCAGGTGCTAAGACATATGTAAAAGACATTGTATCTACGGTAGACCAAGGCTGAAGTTCCAAAGCTCTTTTGTGACCAGAGACCCTGACTTACAATTTTAGATCTGGCTGAGTCAATGATTTGCAATATGATTTAGGCCTTTAAATGATTCAAACTCCAAAAAAAAGGAAATATTTATGCCAGTAATCTCATTTCTGTCCCTTAAGTAACACTGACAAGACTTTTCCTGTATATTTTATGAGCTACAAGTAGTTAATGGGTACCCAGAGCACCACTTTCAGCAGTTAACAGATCTACAAACAAAACAAGAAACCAGACATTAATTCATGTAAAAACTGAAAAAAATGCTCAAATTATTGTATTTACTCCTGACATCAAACTGCAGTCTGTATGTATGAGTGAATTTCTTACCCGGTCACCCTTACCACCAGGTAGGCCTGGAGGACCTGGCAGTCCAGGAAGTCCAATAGCACCTTGGGGACCCTGTGAAAATAAGTCAAGGATGTAAACTTACCCCATCTGTTTAAAATGAACAACTAAGGGTCATACCCTCGCAAGCAGATGGGGCAGAATCTTATTCCTAGAACAGTCCTAACTTGATGAAAGAGGATTATCTGGTGAAAATAGAGATGATCCAAAATTCAGCCCTTTAAACAGTATCTTATCATGATTTTACTGCTGGCAAACACAACAAAAATGGTTTACAGGGCTTTCCACCCTCCAGTCCGTTGACAACAGTCTGGTTCTCTTAAACATAATTCCTAAGACCTTGCACTCTGTGATTGGCACATTCCTCTGTAACAGCAGGCTCCTTCAGCCAAAACATCCCCAGCTATGCTTCTGTTACTGTGTAAATATTGCTGGAGCACTGGTAAAAGGTGGCATTCATAATCTGCTCCATTCATTAGTTTCACATAGCTGTTAGCAGAAAACCAGTCTTTCACTGCTCCTCAGTACACGTAGCCCACACAGGAGTATGCAACCAAACTTCACACATAACAGGATTTATGGGGTTTTTTTAAAATAGAATAAAAAGTTCCACACGTCTCCATATACTTTAAAACAGCATTTTCTAATATTAGCACAGTCACAGAGGACTGAAAAAGAAACTCAACAATCACTCATTTCAACTTTATTTTCAGTTCCCTGCATGGATAAATGGGTAAGTGTAGTTTCAGATGATACCATAGCTCCTTAAAAGTAAACATGAACACTGAATATGGAACTAAACTGCTTACCCATTTCCCTGGTAAACCTGGAGGACCAACAGGACCTGGCTCCCCTCTGCTACCCTTGAAGGAAACAGAAGGATATCATTACTTCCTGAAATATTTCCTGTGAGCAGGGAATAAAGTATGTTTTTTTTCTTAATGTTTAGTGAATTACACTACTTAGCAGTTGGCTTTAATCAAGACTTCTCTCTATTAGTGCAAAAATATCACGTGCATTATGAACAGTGAAACTTCCTGAGAAATGTAAACATTTTTAGTCAACAATGGCATAGAATATTTAGTTGGCATTAAATTATTCAACTAATTCATTCTTCTGACTGATTATGCAAAATCAAGTCCCCTTCACGGGATCGCAACTGAGAGTTACCCATCACGAACACATTTATTTCACTAAGACTCCGACGCGCATGCTTAGCTTTAGGCTTTTGCTTAGTTTAATCAGCTGAACTCTCACATGACCACATACTTAAAAGCTCATGGTCCCACATGAAGAGTGGACAAATGTGAAAAGTTCGTGCAGAAGTCATGCCTAACAAACTCATTTAGGTTAAAAAAAAAAGAGTCTAGACTATTACAGAGAAAGGTAACATTTAAAAATCCTCATTCATAACAGTGATAAGTATAAACATGCTTTTTACTGGATTTTTACTTCAGATCTTCACTTCAGATACATTTATCCATTCAGATTATCATATTCACATTAGTGTTATAACTCCATCTCTTAATGCAGCTCTTTGAATATATACTCTGGTAAATTTGACAGTGTCAAAGACACTTAAACAATTTTCAAACTAAAGTAGCTTTCTTAAAAGGGTTTTGTCTCTTATGATTAAACCTTTCAGAACAGCTCAATAATTTTTGTACATTTACTCTCACCTGTACAGATAAATTCAAACACTGTATCAATACAAGCCTAAGTCTCACTTGAGACACTTTTCTTTCACTATGTGGATACATAAGGAAAGGTACTTGCTATAAAGGCATGATACAGCATTTAAGGTCATAAAATATCAAGAATTGAAGTTATGAGTTACATAAGTAGGTAACCTGTTACATATAACTTACAGTATTTTGGATAAAAGCAGATCTAAACATTCTAGGGCTGTATATAATGGATACTTTTAAATATAGATGTTTTCTTCATAATAAGAAAAATAGCATGAAATATTGTGACATATTGAACAATAAAAGGAGATGGCAGACATGGCCTTTCACACCAGGCTTTAAATGCAGTGACAACTTCTCACACAAGCTTAGGAAAACTAACTCTACAATTCAAGAAATAATTAGGTATCCTGGAGAGATCAGAGAACCAAACAGACTTTTCCATTCATTTCCTTCAAGTTATCCTATGGTGTTAAAATCACTACCCTTTTAAAGCACTTTGTATAATTTCTAGAAACTTTTTTATGTTAAAAAAAGAAAAAAAAAAAAAGAAAAAAGGCCCCCAAATCACCTTCATCTTACAACCCAGAAGATGCATTAACCTTTTTGAAAATCTGTTATTTAACCACATAATTCTGTACTACATCTCTGACCTGGAATACTACTACATTTCTGATGCAGGAAAGCAAAGGATTAGAATTGCGATCAGTATTAGAAACTTTTCTCCTTCTATATGTCATAACATTCATTTCTGATTGCTATACAGCTATAAAACAAAAGCAATGACACCTTCCATGGAGTTAAAATCACATAACAAACCTCTTAAGCACATCAAAGGTTCTGCTGGTCATACAGAATGCAAGAAAAATTTCCATTTTACTTTAAATGCAAAAAAAAAACCAACCCTTTGTCAAATATACACTACAGGCACTTTTTCAAACACCAGTGGTTTTCTGTGATGGTTGAAATAGAAGGTTAGTATACAGAAGACTGGAATACAAAAGGATAGTATTTCCCTTAAACACTGACATTATGTCTGGAAGGACAGATTACTTCAAACTAAGGGCCACCACTGCAAGATCTGCAGGAGTTGTGTTGCAGCTAGTAAGAGGGGAACTGTAACCAACAATCAGGAATCCCATTGGCCCATGACACAACTGAAAAGACTGTAAAGCTTCCTCCAAGTTATACCTGACTAAAATGGCCCTGGGATAGGATTTACATTGAGCTAGTTACTCCTGGTTCCCTTCATAGGGGATGAAGAAAAAAGGCATCTTGAAATGTCCTCAGGTAAACATTTAAAATACATCACAAGGCATGTCCTAGAAGCATCTATGCATCTATGTTTTCCCCACAGCCTATAGGAGGATTTCTGTAATAACTGGTTCTAGTATTGACATCTGTACTTGGTCAGATGAAACCTTCCTCTATGCTCTAAGTTACTTATAGGCAATAATCAGAACAGAAGGCGGTTTGGCCATGTCCTCAGCCTACTTTTCTTACACAGCAGCCCTATATATAACACAGTCCATAGCTGCAGGCCACTCACAAATCAATGGCCATGTTGCACTGGTTTCAACAAAAAAATATACCTGAATCTATGTGTTTTATGCATTTTTGACATACTTCAAAATTCCTACTTTTCCTAGAGGTGGAACACTTGAAGAGGGAAAGTAGCTACTCTAGTTTAGAGTCAGCTGGGATAGCGAGTACTGCTGAGGATAGGGTCATTCTCACAAAGAGGAGGCAGCAAGGCACATGTGAAATGGTAGTGTGTGAAATGGTAGTACAGCATCACAATACTGAACAATACCAGGGTGTAGCCCTTCCACAGCTGTGGTTACAACAAAGTCTACCTTCCCTTTGTTCCAAGGCAGGATTGCTGGACCACTCAATACATTTTAATGAAGGTTTAATGTCTCTCCCACAATTCTGAGAGATCTATATTTAGCTTTTGAATGTAACATGCATAAGGGGACATTACAGGATTTACAGCAGACCTTCCTTTAGGTTGTCTGGTTGTCTGAGGTTTTCATCCTCACTGAAATTTTGAAGACTCAATTCTTTTGTAGAATTCCCACAAGCAGTTACAGAATGCATTCTCATGCTAAGAGAGTTTGTTTCACTGGTTTTTTGATTTCCTGTTGATGAACTGAGTGGAACAATAATAAGAATATGCTCCAGGTAATTTGCATCTCACGTAGCTTCCCAGATAATCAAAACACTATTTAGAATCTCTTGACAGGTAATTCACAATATATACTGTATATACTGTAATAAACTCTCCTCTACTTAAGAGTTTTGTGTTCATATTATGTGTCATACCAATTTTAGTATATTCAATAGCAGTGATATAGAGAATTAAATCTGTTCGGAATGAAAAATATCAAAAAACGTACATTTTGGAATTAACATTTTTAAACTTAGTTTTCCAAAGTCTTTTGCAAAGTGTAACCCATTTATCAATTATATGCTTCTGAGACTTTAACTTTTTTTTTTTCATCTAAAATCTCAGAGGCATTATTTATTTATGTTGAAGGATTTATCCATGGAAGCATCAACAGGACTCTTCCTTTGACCTTCAGTACAGTACCAAAAAGCATACAAAAATATAAACTATTATTTGCTAGAAGAGTAAATATACAGCAAACTTTCTCTGAAATTTTAAATGCATATTTGCACCTTTCTCAGAGTAATAATTAAATTGTGCTCTTCAGGGTAATGGTAAGAGATAGGTGTAGCATGAAATGTACCTTCCTCTTAACTGTGTCATGCTTTGGGCACAAGCAGCAGCCCAATAGCTGCCGTTCTCTTCTAAAGGTGATACTGTGGCCAAGTATAAAGGACAGAGACCTTTCACACTGGCTGCATCTATACTGCTAACTGAAGTCTATGATCACTTTAGTACACTGACTCCATAAGAAGTCCATTTTTTACCCACATTACTGTTTGCACTGCTTAGGAGAAGCCAACATTGGGATATCTGCTGATATTCAGATGTCTAACATGCCGAAAAATCAAAAAGTAAGCTCTTCTTGGAGGTGGAGGGGTAAAGAGTGAGGTAGCAGACAGGAATCTGACCATGCATTTTGGGAAAAAAAGGGTGAATAGCATGGGAACTAGAGAGGCTTGGAGATATTAATTGGTTTGGCTGGGATATGTAGTCAGTGAGTGAGAAAGGAGAAAGTGCTACCCTGTACAAACCATGGGGCAGAATTGTGCAAGGTCAGAAAGTGTAGTCACATCCATCTACAAGCTTAGGTTTACTGCATAAAAAGAATAGCTGGCGGGATGGAAATCCGCTTTGTTCTTTTGACTCTGCTATAGACTGTGCAATGCTAACCCCTTTAGCTGTATCTTAAATGTAAAATATGACTCACCACTTGTGGAACACCTCTGAAATCATATATACGAAACGTGTCCACTAATACCTAAATTTATCATATAAGCTGAGGCAAGGACATTTCATCCTACCACACTACCAATGCCATTACACCATTACCAACTAGAGAAAATTGCCCATTATTTCAGTTGGAGTCTGGTAAAAATAATATGATAGAAAAGCTAGATTTTAGTTATAATAGTTAGGGTAACCAAAGATAAATTTCAGAGTAGGTAAGACAAAAATACCTTTAAAAACTCAGAAAATTATTTAGCTGAAAGTAATTTAAGACACTGAAAACAGTATTCTCATCTAACATTTTAGTACCAAATCCAAGGTATTCTCCAGGCTCCCTCTTTATAATGAGCCAAGAGACAAAGGCACCTCCAGATAGAAAGCCAGCCCAACCAACCAGGGCCCCTCAGAAGTCTTTCAGAGGAGACTACGGTATCAAATCTTAGGCAGCTAGATACTTAACCTCTGTTGCTAATGTTAAGGAAAACATGCATTGCATTCTAAATCCTTAACAACATATATATGCTGGCCTGTATATACATTGAGTTTGCTCAATTTGCTGGGCAAGTATTGAATTTGAAGTTAAACGATTACCACAGGATGGGATATATGTTCTCCAAATGTTAGCAATTTAAAGGTTAAGTAGCTGAAGAAAAACAAAGGATGAAAAATGCAGGGGCAGGAGTCAGTATTTTCTGCAGACACAATATGAAAAATTAAATCTTACTAAATCTCAGCAAATATGGAAAAAAAAAAAGGTTAAGCAGCTTAGGGAGCA